ATGCAGATCTTCGTGAAGACTCTCACGGGTAAAACCATCACCCTCGAGGTCGAAGCTTCCGACACAATAGAAAACGTGAAGGCTAAAATCCAAGACAAAGAAGGAATTCCCCCGGATCAGCAGCGTTTGATTTTTGCCGGCAAGCAGCTGGAAGACGGCAGAACTCTTTCCGATTATAACATCCAAAAGGAATCCACACTCCACTTAGTTTTACGTCTTCGCGGAGGCGCGTTCTTGTGAGCTGGAAGTCTACGGAAAGGCTAGTCGCAAATTGAATAGTATCAGTAGTATCGAAGTAGCATTAATTACCTTTTTTTTTTTTTAAATTTATGCTTCGAGTCTATATTTGCGCGAATACTTTTACCATTACATATTTCCTCTCAAAGTACAAGAATGTAAGAAATTGTAATCCAGGTATATATGCAAATAAACGCATTCTTGTGCAATTAAAATATAAGATTGATATATCTTGAATGATTTTCCTGCGAGCTTTATAAAATCCAATCAGATGTTTTCTTTGTAAAATTTATTAAATAACTTTGCACATATTGTCACATATTGCCTGTGATACTCATAAAAAATAAAATGCTAAGTTACATCTTAAAGTAAATAGTCTATTTCATCTAGCACCATCGACTCCTAGTTGGTAAATGAAGAACAAGTTATATCTTTTAAATGTTTAATATCGCAATTATTTTAAATAATTAATACTGTTGAAGTTACAAATTTAAATACTTGGTCTTGACCTAATAATATAAGCACACATATCAATATAATTTTTTTGCGGTTCGAGCAGGGAAGAAAGAAGGGAAGGTAAGAGGCAAAACATTTATATTAATGCACGCGACATAATAAAAACACGTTTAATAAAAGATTGCACTTTGGCTCGTGCTAAATATACATATGTACGATTATATACATGGTGATCGTGACATTAATTAATATACACAGTTGTGTACTCAGTCTAATGCATGTAGTAAACATATATGAATAGTGATACAGAAATCAAAATTTCGTAGTCATGTTATGAAATAATTTACGCGTTAATCATGCTGGTAATCTCTAAACAAGCACACAATAAGATAATTTTTCCATTGCTGTGCACTTTTTTGTCCTGGGGAAGGGGTCTTTCTTATCGGTTTCATACAATGTTCTTATACAGGTCCTGTAATAATAATTATATTATTGCACTACACATTCTATTACATAAAATTAGCAATCTCAACGATTATGCGTCACTCACCTATAAAGCTCAATAATACTGGTAAGAATATTAGACCGTGTGCCGCTCCGAACAGAACAATACCCAAGTACATCCTGAAATAAAAAACTCGGAAAATCTGCGTCTTCGCGAACGCTAGCACTATGATTCCTACGAATTTGGTCAAAGTAATTCCGGAGAATACCTGAAAAGTAGCACGAGAGAATGAATATATATGAGAATGAGTATATAAATACATGAATTTAATATTTTACTTGTTCGAGAAAATCAAGTTTTTTCAGGATATTTAAACTTTAAGAGATATCGTTTGTGCTTCGCGACATTTAATTGGACTTACAGAACTTCCCATGACGGAAAGAGCTTCCGATGCTTTACCGACCCTCGTCATCGCTTCAGAAGTGATGTAGGAGTGCACTATATGGCTACAGAATTCCACGGAGATACCAGCCGCCTACAAAATGTCATACTTGAGCACATAACAATTTCATTACTTTATTACATAATAATTTAATAACGAATTTTTTTAAAATATTGATACAATAATATAATGATTTTATACACACACATGTAATATTAAATAATGATAAAATGTTATAATTAATACTTAAAACTGATGTTATTTTATTGGAGAGAAGAAATGGAATGATTTAAGAAAGGAAGTGGATAAATATTAATAATTTAGTACGAACCATGACTAAATTTACGAGAGAAACTGCGTTCAAACTGACGTTCCACCAGTACATTAAGCCTGCTAAATCGATTATTATCATCGAGACAGTAAGAACGACTATCAATGCAGAAAATAATGATAATCCTGTGAGAAATAGCGTCACTACGAAGATCACGGCAATAGATAAACTTATCGACGACAAGGTTTCCTGCCAGATGGTCAAATACTGCTCATAAAACACGTAGAATACACTGAAACACGCAACGAAAAATTTATTCGATAATTAATAATACAACAGCAAAAAAGTACCATAATGAAAAAAAAATGGTAGCAATTTATTTTACGAGGCTACCCATTTTTCAAGATTAGACATTTGGTTTGAAAATGTGGAATTTTTTTAAATATCGCAATAAAATCTTATTATATGGAAATAATCTTGGAAATATCTTACCTATATGGAAATACATGGACTTTTTGTTCGGACACCTTAGCATCGTTGATCATGTTTGTGATATTTTCCGATATTACTCTGGCGGCATGCAGCGCCTCGTACCAATCAGATGATTTTTTTAATGGAGTATGATAACCCATGAAATACGAATCGTTCACATTGGTCAGACCGAATTCATCATAGTAATAATTTAACGCCTGTTCAAGCAAGAAGTTTCAAATTTTATTGTCAAAGAAAAGTCCAATTTTTAATTTTAATTTTTGCTGCCACGTTTAGAAAATTTAAAAGAAATTGTTTTTGTGGCATTTTAAAAATTCTCCATTTAATAGATTGTCAACGTTGACTCACGTCGAAATAAGCAGCTCTGCCAGCTTTGGCGCACTTTGCATCTGGAACGTCGTTCACGAAATAGGGAATAAACTTCCTGAAACTCATCTCATTCGGACGAAAGATATTCTCGTCAATGGTAATGTCACATAGCTTACAGAATCCGCCTGTAAATTATTTCATTGAGGTCAAGTTAAACTTGCTAAGCTTAAAGAGCATGTGTTTCCCGAAAATTGATATTATTACACACGTATACATATAAGCACATATCAATAATAGTTTTACATGATGCCGACACATACCTCTATCATGCGGACAAAAGGATTCGTTGGCCTGGAAATATCTGCAGCAGCCACTAATCGTCGACCAATCGAGATAATCATCTATCCATGATGAGGCTGCTTTAGACAAGTAGGACCTGCAATTATTATAACCGATAAAATTCTTGTCGCCACATTTTGCGTGACATTTTCAAGCAACTTTTCGCTTGGTGTAGCTACCAAATATCTCCGGAACAAGACGACAAATTGATATAAAATTAACAAAATAAAACACAAATTAACATTCTGTTAAAACATGAAATAGAAGAGCTATATATATGTTAGTCATATTTCCTTAGTTTTGTTTATGCTTTGCAACACACATTTTCCCGAGATTATAAAAATTGAGAGATACAAACACGGAGGATTGATTGGCAGCCGAATATATCTGCGTATACAAGGAATCCGTATTGCATCCCTGACCGCCGCATATGATGTTCTGTACCTCCTTCTTGCTGTAATTCAGGCCTTCTGTCAGAACGAAATACACGGGTGGGCCCATCGACAAAAGGTCCTCCATGTACTAAAAATATAACATTCGCTAAAGCTGTAATGCAATATAACGTGTAATATTCCGCGTATAATATTCTAAAAATAATATAAAACAAATACTTTCTCTTTAGTTTTAATAAGAGATTTTTCGCTTTGATTTCTATAAGCATAAATGATTGACTGCGAGTTGAATTGTAACAATTAGGTAGAATGATTTTCATCGGTTTTTTTTTCATTTTTTTCTTTATTAATCTTTACCTGAAAATATTTGAGAACGTAAGAGTCTTCGGGCATTGAAAGCTTCTGGTCTAATCCAATCTCGATCTGCGGAAAGACTATGACATGAGTAGCGACAGCGGCGACGAAGATCACTATGACGACAATTCTGACCGGCGTCTTCATCAGAAACGGCGTGTACGCACGCTCGAAGATTGTATGAACGATACCGTCGCGTTCGTCGACATTCGAATCATCCTTGATGGAAACGCAGCAGCAAACGTCCAGGCGATTATTCTAAAAAAATATTGATCGTTTGTTTTAAAAATTGACGCATGAGAATCTCGTAAAGTCGGAGTATTAATTGTTAGTTAGGATAATTGCAATTTTTACAAAAATTGAAATAATTGCAATAATATAAATATAACTATAATATCAATTTGCATTTGTTATATTAATTATTGAAGACACGATTTCTCTTCCATAAAACGGTAAAATTTTTATGAAAAATTTATATAATTTACCTCAGCTCTCCGGGAATCGAGGGACAATAAAGCGACGAAGGCCGTTATTTGAAGGAGAAAATTAATTAAAATCGATAACGAGGCGTACATCGCAAAGGTGTTGACCGCTGGCATTGCAGAAAACGCTCCTGAAATTTTTATTTTTTACATATTATAATTACAAACATAGAGAAAGACGCTACTCTTGTTTTTTTTTAAATAATTTGTATGATATTTTTACGTACGTACCAATAAGAAAGCAGAAACATTCGGATGTACTGGTAAGCAGCATCGAGGGTCCGACTGCGGCCAGAACCCTGCCGATGTGTTCTGGAATTGTTTCGTCGATTTTCCGACTATTTCGCTGATGATTTTGCACCAAGATGAAAATGTTGTCGACTCCGACAGCCAGCACTAAGAAAGGAATTACCTGAATAACAATTTACCATTAAATTGTTGTTTTTATGTAAACGTCTCTTAAATATATTTAAATTACATTTGATTGATAAAGATCCATGTACATTCTCGATTACGTAAATTTTTGTAGCATTATTTAAAAATAATTTACTTTATTTATTTTAATATACTTTATTATCGTAATTTAATTTGTTTTGCGTATTTGCGAGAAATTTAAATGTAGATTTTATGTAATAAAGCAAACGTTTAACTGGAATTATACGTCGTCAAATTAATTATAATACCTCGATTGTGAGCAGAGTGGTTGGCACGCCAGCATAGCCGAAAAGACCGACAGAACAAGCGACCGATGCTATGACTATGATGATTCCACCGACGCTCAATACGATTTTGCTTTCGGTCTAAATTGGAAAATTGGAAATTATAATGAAAGCGTTTTGCACCATATGTTTACATATTTTATAATTTCGTGGTATTTTTTATGATGATAAATACTTACAAAACAGGTAACGGAAGTCTTGATTTTGCCGAGTGCAAAGGCGACGTAAACGAACATGACGAGGTAACTAATAATCACCGTTATCATTTCCGCTTTCGACGTCCTGTCTAGTTCGTCCTGTATCGATTTTTCGGTGGACCATGCGACGTCCATGGAGTCCGGTCGACCATTTTCGTTCCATTTTTCCATAAAATCCAGAAAGCTAAAATTTACAATAATCGCTGCGGTTTGGTACATCAATTCATGACGCATTAACAATTATTTTTTTTCGGCGATTCCATTCTTTTTCTCTCTTGATTTTTACACACCGCTGTTCCCATTTATTGATCGTCACGAGGTCCGATTCATTGAGCGAATTTTTCACCAGAAATGTTAAGACTAGTCCGGTCGCTTTAATGTAATCGGAGGAATCATATTTAAACTCTCTTTCTTTCAGAAAACCTCCGATTGCTATGGTAGGAATTATGGGTCCTTTGTACGGCGCCAGACAGTCTGGATGAAAAGAATTCCTGAAAAACCGTTTATTAAGTACTAAAAACAAAATAAAATTTTTAAAACTATTTTTATTAGACAAAAAATATGCTTTTGGAAGAAAGATTCGATAACTTGTTACTTAAAATTTACTAAGCACGTTCACATTTCTCTTCGATTGGGAAATTATTCACTTTAACTAAATTGAATTATTATTAAAATTTCGATCTATAAATAATGGAAAAATGCATAGAACTATCACTATCGTAAATTTTTATTGAGACTGTTACCATTGCATGATTTATTAGGCAAATAAACGCGTAAATTGACTATTATATTACTTACTGCATACACATGTACAACTGATCAAGGTAATTAGTGTTATATCCTCCTTTTATCTCTGTTTTATTGAACGTAGCAAGATTATTCTGGAAATATCCCCATATACTTTGCACAGTGCAGAGATCAAGAGTAACCGGTCCGGTAAATTCGCTTTGTACGGGAGCATAGCAGATCTTTTCCAGTCCTTCGCCAGTTTCTTGGCCTAACTACAAACGTCAAAAATATTAGCCAGATCCTTTTATTATATTTCACACCCTGAGTATTAAAATCTTTAATTGTACAAACGTACTTGAAGAATCTGCTGCTGCAGATCATATACTTCCAGCAAGAACTCCTTGTTAAACACTGGTCCGAACCACATAACTCCAATCGAAGTATTATGCCTTATCTATCGTGATGCGTATCGAAAATATTTATTTTTACATTAAAAAGTAGAAATTTTTAAATATTTAAGAATATAGTACGATAAAAACCTAATATCGAGTTTCATTTGGATATTTATACAAGAATGTTAGAGGTATATTAATTGCTATTATATAGCAATTAGGTATAATTACCGCAATATCTTACCGTATCAAGATCCTTGGATTTTATAAAGATTTGCTCGGTCCGATAGAACGGCTGGAATCTATTATCAAAGTAATCCTTTTCTAGCCTCGATCTGCTACTCGGCGCTGCCCATATCTCTATTGGGTTCACCGTCACCGAAAGGTAGTTGATTCCGTAACTCAGACCAAGAACGATGTATGATGTCGTGAACAAAGTAATAATAGGATACTTGGCGAACGCTGTTAAATATCATTAACATTTATTATTCGCAGCTAAAAGTTTGTCTCTCCGCCTATTATATAATCGTATGGTAGTAAAATAATTGTTTAATATCTAATACTATTTCATACTATATCAAAAAATAGTAATTCTCTGTTGCGAACGTGATTTTAAGTTATATCTAATTGGGGGAGGGGGTGAAGAGATATATTACAATATATATTTATTAGATAAATATGAATATATAATTTAATTTAATTAAAAATTGTATCCTGTATCGAAAAAATTGCTACCAATAGTTTTCTATCATTAAGATATCACGCACACATATAACATAAAATTATATTTAGAAAAGATACGTAATTACCTGTTCCCCATGCAGCGAAGGCCACTTCGAAAACTTTTTGGTAGCTTTGAGTACAGTTTCTGTCTGTCTTTTTTGCTGGCGGTTTGGTAGAACCTAGAAATGTAAAAATATTTAGGAAGAAAGTGCTTGAACAATTTGAAATACTAAACAAAAAAATTTTTTTTTAAATAGGATTAATTAAAGATTGATTTTCCCGTTGTTCCTTTACCTTTTTTACGATTCTTGAGCAAAGCATACGTGAAACCCGCTACAATTGGGATTAAAATGACAAGTATAGCCGCTATGACACCGTAGCCATTAACATCGCCGATCATAAACGTATTATTTGACTCAATCTCTAATTCGATGAAGGGACACGCGATGGGGCAATCGACGCAGCTGCAGGCTATGGACGAGTTCTGGCAAACCCAAAAATAATTTTAAAAATGTCAAACTTAACATGATAAATTCAAGACGTATAAATAAGCTTCGTAGATCCTTTTATACGCGAGAGATCGGAAGCGCTTATAATTCTCGCACTTACGTCGTAAGCCTCGCTGCATTTCTTTGTTACAGCATTCCACGGCTCGGCACCCCATTCGTCAGCCGCATCGTAAATGTATGTCATCTGGAAGGGCGTAAAAGCGTTCGCTTTGACATCGCCCATGTACTCGTACCACCTTTAAGAATTATACGCCATATATATTGCGGTTCTGTTTCATTTTATTCATTGTTTCGACGATCGCGTGTGCGCGTCATGCTGCTTACAATTTCGGGGAACACCTGCTGGCTCCGTGCGCACCGCAGGCCAGATCCATGCCCAAATTTCCGCTAGTAGGATTGACGACGTTTTTGCAGGAATCGTACGTCCTATTTATGAATTCTTCCGTGAGATGAATCTAAAGTACGGTCAGCAACGTTTAAATTTTTTCGTAACGATGTGATTTTAATTTTGCTATTCGAGTTATCTGCTGCTTTACACGTATTAATTTATTATTTGTTAACATTTATCAATAGAAGATCGAGAAATGTGTTATGAGAGTCAAAATGCACTCTTGGGGATCATCACCTCAGATTCGACGACGTACTCGACACCATTTGCTTCGGAACTCTTGGTCACCTTCACGAATCGACCCTGCTCGGGACTGCAAGTCATGTCGCAGATCTGTCGAAACACGTTTCGGATGCAAGTCGGACACCTGCCAAGAATATTTTCCGCCATTTGCATGCTGTCGTCCATCGTGACGATCTGTTCGGCGTCGCAGCATGTTATCGGTGATTCTGCAGGAATCGAACACGTTCCATGAATTATAATAAGCGCGCGTAATTATGTCCTCGAAGCGGAGATGCCGCACTTGGCACTCTCCAACCGCTAACAATCGCGCAAGCGGAAACGATCTCGAAAAAAATAAAATACTTTAATATACAAACCGTCATTCTCGAAGAAGTGCGGACATCTCTTCCGCAGAAGAGCTTCGGACGCCGCATCGTTGATCGGTCGGGCGGTGATGTTCCTTGCCACGCAAGACCGCACCCGAGGTAATACATCGTCCGATATTCCGCATTGACCATACCACGCGCAAAACTGTTCATCCGCCGAGATCAAGACGCAACACAGCGCGAGAAGAAGACCGAACGCTTCCGGTCGCGTCATTTTGCGGGCGTATACGGGGAACGCTATCGAGGGATTTACGCCTAGACGTTCCGAAATCGCTCGATCTCGCCGTATCTCAATAGCAGCAATCGCGATGTCCCGCGATGCGCGACAGCGAGAATTGAACGCGCAGCTTCAGGACGTTAGTTAATTGCTATTATATCGCGGGTAAGATTAGCGTGATAAATACTGTACACTCTTCGACAATGTACCTCCTCGAACGAATTCTCACCTCACGCTTTCGTTCGCGTTTCCGCGTCCGCACAATAAATATCTCCACGCTTTAAATGCTCGATTGTACATTCTTTATTTTAGAGCTGCAGGTAGTCGATTGTCTTCGTCGTAATCTCGTTCGAAACTAATGCGACGGCTTCGTTCCCGACGAATAAATTCACCATAATCCGTTCCGTGTAATTTTTTAATGGTCACTGTAAACTCAAATGTCACACGACTTCGTTTATACGAATTGCAGTTTCTGTCTCACCTCGTGGAGATTTATTCGCGACTCGCTCGTCGGATATATCCGCGAGAATTTCGCGACATTTAGATATCCATTGATAATGTTCCCTTTCCCAGATCGAATGAACAACTGTCTCGAATGACCGGCGTCGCGTCATCATATCAAATCGCGTTTATCGAGCCACCTGATGCCACCGGTAGCTTATCACGCAGGTGAGAATTCGAAGAGATTTCTTATCAACTGTGGGACGTAAGCCAATAATCGCGAGATGTTGAAATTTTTTCAACTGTCCCATCGTCCCATCAGGATCCAATTAGATAAAACGGTTATTTGGTCTGCTATCTATCTTTATTCTCCCAATCAGTCGAAATGAAACGCGGACGAATGTTTTCTCTGATGACTAATAAATTCTTGGAATGAATTACATTCAAAGAGTATTCAGGAACCAATTCATGCATTTAGATGGGTTCGACTATTTAGTTTACTCAGCTGCGATATTTATTAATCACTTCACAACTCATGCAATCAGGGATTATCGAACACCTGTGAGTTATCGATATCTTGATATCTCAATGTGATAAAGCTTTTTGTATTTATGTTGCACATGTCGCGCGACGTTTGTTTCGAAAAGCGGAATGCAAAATATTGGTAAAATATTTGATTTGTTATCTTAATACTTTTTCTATTACATTCTTAATTTGTAAAAACGTTATTGTTCAATATTTAAGGATTGACAACTCGATTCTCAATGAACATTTAAAAGATACGTACGCCATAAGAACGACAGCTTTATTTAGCAAAATGAATTGCGTTATCCAACAATATTTCTTAGTCGGTGATGTTCTCCAACATTTATTCTAATTTCGATAAATAAAATTCCAATGAATTGAATATATTGACAGTTAATTACGTTATATTGACGTTATATTGACGGTTAATTAATCAACGAGATAATTTCATGCGATATGATAGGAAATTCCAAAGTAGGATCAATTCGCAGTATTTATTCCTGCTACGTTTCATATTCGTCGATATAAGGCAATTTTTGGCGTGACTCTGGTATAAGCAACCGAAGGGTACCAAACTGCACCGGAACCAATAGCAGCCACGGATAGCAACTTTGGTACATGTACCAAACCATACCAAACGATCGCCAAAAATCGCCTATAGTAGGAATAAAAGGGGAATAAAAAGGGAATAAAAGGGGCCGAGTTTCCATAATGAATAATCATATTTTAATGACTCAATGATTGTACAAATGGATCACTCTTAAACGTCTCCGCATACAACCGAGGAACAATAACAACGAATATAGCAATCATCGTAATCATAATATATTCCATTGCTAAACGTACCGTTCACGTAACGAGTTGAGAAAACGTAAAGGGTTTCTTTTTATACTCTCTCGCGCGCGTACCATATATTTCCGCTCGCATACGCTGCGGCAACATTTAATCTCATCCTTGGTTCTCGCCACCCAGCTTACTATCGCTTTACGTTCAACGCAAGGAAGAGATACTCCTCGTCTCCGTGTACATCTCCGTCTTTCTCTTCTCGTTCTCGTCTGGAAAGACTCGTTACATCGTTACACGCTATCTCGTCTTCGTTTCGTTATCACCCGCCCCCGTCCTTTCCCTTAACTGTGCCCCTAACGTCTCCTTCTCTCTCTTATATATTCTATATTTTTATATATGTAATAATCCTACCAACCCCGCATTTCTCTTTCAGACCCTTCTCTCATCCTTTTAATCTCTCTTTATTTTCTCTCTCTGCTTTTCTTTCTTTCAATATAGTATTCTCGGTGTCCCCAATAAATACCCAAGGTATCGCCCTAATCGTATATACCCCCAAATATTACTATGTTCAACGGTAGCGATAAAGTTTATATATATCTATCAATAAAATTTCTGGAAGAATGTCAATAATCATACAATAGACGATCAATCGTTCGACGATCCACTGCGTACCCGGGAGGGGGCGAAAAATATGAAACTCGGTACTAGGCCAACTATTGGGATACGTCTCCGAGCTAGAGTGTCTCGACCCTGTTCGATTTTTGTTTTCTCCGACCTGACTTCATCGCCGAGGAAAGTGCGTAAATGGTGGGGTTAGATCCATCGGGAATCGCGAGCAATCGGATGGTGATACGTTCAACCCTTTTCAGGCCATTTTTATCAAGTACTCAACCTCAAGTAAATTTCTAGCTTCGATTTACGAAAGTTTCTCAAATGTATCTAACTTTTTAAATAATTATTTAATCACTCGTTTTCTTTGCGGGATATATTATTATATCTTTTTTTATGTTGATTGGGAAGATAGATTTATAAAAAATTAAGCGTTGGCGAACTGTAATATTGTAATATAGTATTCTTTTTCTCATCTTACTTTAATATTCGCGCGTGGAGCTTCCACGATTCTGCGAACGTAAACGTGAAACAAATGATTTTTGGAGCTTATACAAAATGTACATTTCTTTAGAATTCAGCTGCGGTTGAATGAACGTTAACCTTTGATAGTATCATGTTTTCAAAACTCTTCACGAGATTTCTTAAGTGGGAAGATAAATATACGAGGCGCACTATCTTAAGCTCGATTAACTCCGGCTAGAAGACGTGGCCGCGATAAGGTGACCGCGACGACACGCTCTTCAACGTATGGCAGACACGAAGAAAGCATCCGTACTTCGAATGCTCAAGAGGTAATCGTACTACATTGTTTACACAGCTGCGGACTGGACTTTATATCAGAGATATAATATAATACTCACGTCGGGGGGATAAGGATAAGTCGACTTTATCGCAGACCATCTATGATGGACGAGATTGTTCTCCACGACGGAAGTCTAGACGGAAAATCTTTGTAGCGTCGTCAAATGTCGTCTATGAAAAGCGGTACCTTTCGATATATCGCGACAGTAACTTAAATATATAAACGCCGTTATCCGCGCGGGTGAGCGACTCCCCGGGTGTGTCACGCACTTTCCTCAGCCTCTTTCTCTCGAATGTCCTCGTAGATCCTCCGGCAGGAAGGATACGGGGGTCGAGGAGAAAAAGAAACATCGACTCTCGCTCGGAGGCGCGCCTCTCTCGACAGAATTTATACAATAAAATTTATATATAGTAGACAATGCAATAATTCGAGCAACAGAAGGTCCTCCGTTAAGTTTTTTTTCCCTTAAATCTGCACGTGTGTTCTCGCCTATAGTAATTAGTAAGTAGGTATCTTATTATTTTTTTTTTCGCTGTCAGATCTTAACCGATGCCTTATTTAGATATATTTTTTTGTGTGAACTGTTTCGTGTATATATACGTGTCCCGCGCGATCGCACGTGAATTGTGTCCACGTGTGCTGGTCTACGTGACGTGTATCTGTTCGTATCCTTTGTTCCTGCCATCCTTTTCATTGACACAACGAGCTTCTGAGCAACGGCGATTAGGATAAGTCCAAAAAATTCTAAAGTCACTAAAAATGCCTGCCTCAATTTTTCCTTACGGTCTAAATTATACAAAGCACCGTTTGCTTGCGAAGCACATTTTCTTTGCGTTAAATACAAGAATATTATTCTAGCAAAAATTAATAACTTTATATTTCGGAAAAATTGCAGTTAACGAACTCGTTGCTTATCGTAAGTAATCGCTCAGGAAAATCGAACTGTACAAATCGCAGCGTTAAATTCTTCAAGTCATGCGAGATATAATAATGTTATCTTTTATTAAGAAAATCATGATCGATTATGATAACGATCAAGCAAATAGGATATGTATTAATATACGGTTGGGCTGGATATTATGCCTAATATTATTCGATATGAATTTATGTAGATTTCTTCGCTTCAGCAAACTATTTCTTCTTGCTAAAGCGAAAAAATGTACATAATTCACGCAAATTATATTATTAGACCGGAAAAGATCCAACCCGACTGTATATTGATACGTTTCATATTTTATCTTTCTTTCGATGCGTTAAGTTTCTGCATAAATTTCCGTTTATTCATGTGTGTTAGAGAGCGTCTGTAGTAATTCCCGAAATTTCTACGTGAGTTTTTTTTGGGCATAATTCTTTAGTCAGCAATTAAAGCAGTTACCAATCGCCGAAGTTATGCGATTATTAATCGCGATAAGTCCAGCGATAAGTTTCCATTGAGATTTCACCTTTCGACGAACTCCCCGCGCTTGAACACTATTATATATAAGTCAGTCTGATATTAATCCTACTAATTATTGCTATGCGACAATTTTGGCACCACGTTCGTCACACTTTTCCGACACGTATATTCTTCGACAAACAGAAGAAAAAAGATTCTCCGGTATGTTTCACCGAAGGACGTGTGTCTCAACGAAAATTTCTTCGTCGAGACAAATCCACGTTTTTGAGTATCGTGATTTTACAGTTCAATTCTCGCTGATATTTCTGTCTTTCGGAGAACTACTGTCGCGCAGGATGGCAGGACCCGTGCGTAGTGGCATACTCGATTTCAAACGGAAGAAAAAAAAAGAAAGAGCCTTTGTCATTCTTGGTTGTCTTGTCGCGAGCGCTTCAAGATAAATCTGGCGAGCGTCCGATCGACTTTTCAGCACAAAAGAATTCGCAGGACGAAATTGATTCCTATTGTTCTTGACTGCCTGTTCTATCTTTCCATGAAAATAACAGCTTCGATCTTTTGTTCTGTATTGACGACTTTAAGATAATTTGCGGAATATAAGCAAAGTATATGTACATGGCATAAAATCCATACGCAATCCGTAAAAACGTGAATTTAATTATTCCTATTAAAAATTAATGCTGCTCGAACTTTTATAATAAAAATCAACGCACCATATTCGATCGGAAAAATATACGTTACCATTATAAACCCAACAATTGTAATGTAAAACACGAAAACAACAAAATTTTTAGAAAGTCGCATTACAATAGTAGGAGGTGACTGGGGCAGTCAAGCTGACGAGTTTTACCGCTTAATGCAATTTCGTAAAAGCACGTACGTGTCGCAGAGGTATCCGCGGTGGTTCGTAAAATCGTAAGAAATCTGTGTCAAAGCACGCACATCAGATGCGTGGTAACGCGCTCGAGATGGAAGCAATATTACAGCAATTCGATAAAACATTCGTTAGTCAATATTAGACGTTACGGATAAAATTTCCGCGGTTCGCGCGGTCCACCACGAAGGAAAAAGGAAAGGATCAAACGCGTCACCCGTTCCCGTCTTCTCGCCATCCTATGCACACTGTACAAATTGTACAATAGTATCCCGGCCGGTATAATTAGTACTCGTATAATTACACTCCTCGAAATATACTAATAATTGACGCGATTTCGCGAATACGTACATTTTTTTTTCTCTTTCGTATCGACGCAATCGTCTCTTTCCGAAAAGCATTAACGTAGAAAATTCGTCACGTTATTGAATTCTCAGCGATTTCGATCGATTTCAGATTTTTAGAACAAAGTCTCTTTCTTCTTTTCCAGATGTTGCGCGCAACATTGACGGCACGATCCCTCTCGTTCATCTGTATAAACTTATAATATTATACGTATATAATATAACGTTGTACAACATTTTATTATTATAACGCTGTAATATCATAATATTACAATATTATAATATCAAAATATTATACGCTTCGCTTTTCAAACACGAAGATCGCGACGAAAAACGCATCCGTCCGAATCGCAGATCGTCACGGACGACAACGTGATGAATATGTGCGTATGCGTTGTGTATGTACTCGATATGACTATATCAAATCCCATTGAGAGATTGGCAATTAAATCCTTTATTCGTCCACGACTGGAAGACGATCGTCGATTCGGAGCGCTGAACGAAGACGTTAACGATCTCTAAACGGATAATTCCGTCGCACCTACGATTGATTCCTGTTAATGTGCAATGTATCGCTGCAGAAAGTCTTTCGATAATTAAGCGATACGACGCAATCAGCACCGATACTCGCATATATAGAGGCATCGATTCTCAGTTTTAGCAAGACCTGCGTGACCCGAGGCGTCGTCGCGCTAACGTCAGCCCGACGTCGAGGAAGATCTAAGCTCGCAATATATATGATTCCGAATCCGCTAATCGGTTTACAGCGATCGATGCTAACTCCGCAGCTGGAATCACAAGGTAAAAGAACGATATACCAAAATCGGGAGACTTCCTCGAAGAAACCGGCGACGTGACGCCGCGCCGCCTCAAGCGTCGTCCGATCCGTCTCTTTATTGTCCTACTCAGGAAACGCGATCGCCGCGAATTCGCGAACGTCTCCCTTCGCGTCCGATAAGACTGATCGGTCACGTCGTTGCGCGCAACATCCGCATTCCCTCGAGTATGCACATGGGTTGCGCGCGTGGCGATGAGAGGTGACGGAATGTCCTCCAGAATGTCTTCGGAATGTCTCGATGAATATCCTTCGAACGCTCTCGTCCTTTGAGAAATATTCCTCGAATCTCCCACGAGCCTCTTAGGACATTCTTAGGGAATATTGCCGGGATATCTTGAGATATTCGCGAAAAATATTCGCGGAATAATTTTCATAAAGTGTTTCGAGAAGATATTCTCTCTCTCTGGAGGACACCACCAGCTCGCACCACCAATCGTGCTTGAACGCTTGCATGCCGTGTATGAAAATGTATTTATGTATGTGTGAATGTGTATATATATTTTTTTTATTTATACATATTTTTTTTGGTTGTAGGTATACGTCTATGTGGATACTTTCTGTCGTCTAATTTACACGTATTAATCCCTCGATACCATTCTTAATTTATCGTAATACCCATTAACAACGCGGTATATGTGTCGGATTATCGTGAAAGGTTTCGGTGCCGATACCGTTCGCCGTCCCTAAAATTCAATATGTACGTTTTAAAGTACGAGTGTGCGCCTCTTTTCTCTTTTTCTCTCATTCTCTTTCTCTCTCTCTCTCTTTCTCTCTTTTTCTCTCATACATCCATGCATGCTAATCACGGGCCTTTAATGCATCTCGTCGTTATGTCGGCGCATCTCACTTCGCAGCTTTGGTCTCGAACACTCTGATCATCACTCTCTCTTTTTCTCTTTCTCTCTCTTTCTTTCTCTCTTACTCTGTCATACGCACATATAAGGTCTGTTTATTTCTATTGAACTGGCTACACTAGTTCAGAGTTCATCTTTCTTACTCCACATTGGAAGGAAAAAGATGAACTCTGAACTAGCGCAGCCAGCGCCAGTTTTCAGCAGTGGAAAACAGACCCTTCGACTCTCTCACTCGTTCAGTCGGTCTCTTTTGTATCTTAAGTAACGTTAAAAATAAAGTCTGCTATGTTGGCGAGGATGCTCGACCCTGAAAACAGGTTAACACGCGGCGGAACGTTTTTTTTTTTAATTTCTTTTGGGGGGGAGGGGACCGTGGACGACGTTACAATGCAATTCACAAATCTACCCTTTCTCTCTTTCTCTCTCACATAACATTCCATATATATAGTATGTATACATATATTTTCTGTATGCGTGTATATATACATGCATATATATACGTATATGTATATGTATATACACACATACGACATATCTTAATTGATTTCTCTTTAATCGCTAAGACTTACTCGCTATGCGCGCGAATCGCTTCTTCAATCTCTTGTTTCTTCTTCCTTTTTTATTCTTTTTTTTAAATTCTTTTTTTTTTTTTTAAACGCATAAGTCTCTCTCTCTCGCTACCCTCGCAGTCCTCACGTCATCCGGCGATCGTCAATGGCGTGACGCGCATCACGACGGTTTCATATAATAATAAAAAAATGGGGGATGTGTGTAGGAGCTTGGTAACGATGGGAAACAACGCAACGAGCGCGCCTACGCGCGAGCGCTCGATCACGATCATGGTAACGCGTAATCATAGTGACATGGTATGACGACAAATATCATTATTACATTATTTACAGAGTCGATTATCTCTCCGGATCATCCGCGCCGCCGTCCACGCGGAAACGGGGGACCAACAGGATCGAGGGACGGAGCCCTCGATCACTGACGACTTTCGAAAAGACAACCGAATCGCGTCTCGTAAAGCCGGCGACGTTGAAATTATGCCGGCTGATGCTGTTAAGCGGAGATACATATATTCGAGAAGCGACGGTTTGACCCATCCTAGGATCTCTCAGACACGCTAACAATCTCGATTTATTTAATCTCACCTTAGAGTTTCTCCCTTTTCTTTATGTACTTAATATGTACAGGATTTTGCAGAATGCAAAGTGCTTTATTTTATATATATATAAATTATCGAACAATATGCAAGAACTTACTTCTTTATGTTTGTAAATCAATTTTTGCGAGTATAAAAATGGATACCAAAACTTTATGCTTCATTTAACTTCAAATGCACACTTTTAGGGATTTCTTATGAACATATTTAAAACTGAATGTTGCAGTCGCAATTTTTTATAACATTAGCAATAAAAAGGGAGAAGCCGAAACTAATGAGAAATGATATGTGTAGAACGAAGCGAGCGAACTTAAACTATTCACTGAGCAGGGGTAAGCGTCTTAGAATTCATATTCTCCATTAATCCGATCCAGTCTTTTGTTCGATCACGAAGAACTAGATCGGCTATTCATTAACGATTTATTATTCGCCATTGAATTATTCGTTTTCAGAGCCAGCGATCTGCTCGGCATCGCTTCTACGACTTCGGGGGATCGTCCGCGTTACGATTGTCAAAATCAAAACTATTTACCATAAGTCTGGCATTCTTATCTTAATTTAATGACACACTCTTTATCTTAACTTTAATATTACGTCGTTAATTCTTTTTTTTTTACTTTTTTAACTATTTGAATATGTCGACCGCCAAGAGACGCGACGAAGGAGGAAAGAGGAGATAATCTGATCGGATCCGATCAGATTCTCCTGATCGGCGAGGAGAAAGCTCGATCAAGCATCTCGCTTGCTCTCGTACAAATGGTACAGTCGACTGCGTCGCACGCGCGCAAGCACATATGGATTTCCTTGCTGGAAGACGAAATGAGGAAGAGAGCAAAGGGAGAAAGCGCAGTCTTCGCGAATTTCCACGTGGGCGGCGGAATGCGTGTTCCTCGCGTATCGTTATCGTGATTATTCGCAATAATCGGATAATTATCTCTGTGTATTACGCTCGGTCGTGGTGATGGTAGGTGATGTCGGTGGTGATGATAATGGTAGTAGTGGTGGTCGCGTTTAATGGCGGTGGTAACTTAACGGTATTACCTCGTTAGCGAGTCAGCCTCGATATTATTCAACTTAAACGTGATTATTAAAGTTAGGTTGTTGAGCACAATTGTTGATTTCTATCAGAGACTTTCGGGAGGCGCTGTGGCTCGAGCTCATGTCCGCGAACTCGCCGGCCGACTTACCCTTGCGCGGCAATGTGGTGGCCTCCCCCAAAGAGGGTAGCTCCCGTGGCTTCCAGATCGGCGAACCTGTTGCAATACATTTTAGAAATTAATGTTTTACAACATGGATTAAAAAAATAAGAACGAAAAAATAAATCTTATTATATCTGATAAAATATGTATCTAATTTATTTATACAAATGTCCTATATATACTTCCTACTATTAATTTACTACTATTAAAAATAATTTCCAATTTCCAAGCAAAATTTCCATCAATATTAATTGAAACAAAATTCGAAAAACCAATATGATTGAAGTATTAATTAATTAGTAAGAGATTAAAAGAGGTCTTAATTTACTAGTTATTAAGTAAATTTGAAAAACACAATTTTAATTAATTAATAAATAATCAAGTAGTTTTGATGTAAGTTTCGGCAGACGCATAAATCCCAACGACTAATACACTCACCAAGTTCCTTGACGGTAATAGGTTGATAGTTCTCAGGCTGATGGGAAGACTGGATCAACCTAGCCTGGCTGCCAGTACTCCCCGCCGAGATGGTCGACGTGGTGCTCAGCGTCAGATGATTAGGTGTGCGACCGAGATTCTTCTTCTCGCCTAAAAAAGCCTGCGAGTCTTCCTCACCTTCCGACTTTGTACCCGAATCCATCTCAACCTTCATCTCGCCTGAAGCGCAACAGGTTAATAGCGCGTTGAGCAATTCGCCAATAATGACGTCCATTGTAATCGAGTCATTGCACTGTTTCGCGCTTTTATTATCTCTTCAACATTTTTTAAATTAAATTTGAATAAATCAAAAATTTCTTCAATTTATTAATATAAATCTTTAAAGACCAGTTTACATATCAGAACCACTACGTATAAAAATTTTGCCTAAAATTAAGACCTCTTTTATGTGAGCGGGAATTTCGTCTTACCGGAAGTGTCGCTTATGGTCTTGCTTCTGGAGCGGAACGTTTGCTGCTGGGGGACCGGCGCATCCTCCTGATCCTTATCCTCCGAGCTCTCGTGCTCCACCGGCTGTTTCGACTGGCTGTATTTGCGCTTGTGCGAACTGGACAGCAGCTGCTGCTTCATCGCCTTCTTCGAGAGCGTGCCCGTCACGCCGTTTCCGTTCTGCGTCTGGCCGACCTGTTGCTTGCTGAATTTTTCCACATGGCCGGTCGACATTCGCGGCGTCATCGACATCGGCGCCTGGCTCATGTTCTTCGTCGAGGGTATGCTCATGTTTCTCACCGACTCACGAATGATTTGCCGGATCGTCTTCAGAAACGCGTTACGGAATTCCGTCGTACTGAAATTTGAGGCAACGTGAGATAAAGAGATCGCCTTACTCGTTTAATCATTTGTACATAAAAAATGATATTAAAAAATAAACGAACAGTCTCGACTCAAAATATACAAACGTATTATGAAGCTATGTATAAACGTTGTCGGCAAATACTTAAAAAAAAGAAAAGATGTATATATAGATATAAATTTTTTTATAAAAAACAATATAGCGGAATATATATTGGTTTGCAAAATGATAGAAACTTAATTAAGACCTAGCACAACCGGTTAAACAAAATATTTAATTTAATTTCAATTTATTTTTAATATTTTTTTTAATTTTCCTGTTTGATTAATAATGATAGTACAACTACGTTAGCCGCGTAATTGTATGCAGTCAAGTGCAATCTCGGCGATTAATTGCCACAGACACAGGTCAAGCTGCGTTACAATTTATTATGTTATATTTTACTAATAAAAATAAATCGAGATAATTAGTTTTTTTAGAGAATTTATTTTGGTTTGTTTTTATTTATATTTATTTTAATTTAGATCCGCCCGTTCAGTAATCAATCAATTAAGGTAGGAAGTTTAGGAAAATACCTGTTGGAGAGTACGTATACTTTCTCCGACCTCCTTTGTAATTGACTTCTTAGATGAATCAATTCCCACAAGAAGTGGGACTCCATATCCTTGGCGGAGCTGGCCCTGACCTGGACTTCCGTCACCGGGATCAGCACCTGGTAACGGATAATTTCTACCTCGCTTGAGTTAGCCTTCGTAGAAACTCCCTGGAAAAACATAGACACGACGGCCTCTTGAGTATCAGAAGTGTTGCAAGGATCGATATAGAGAAATGGGTCATCTAGACACTGACCATGAGCTTCTTTTTCTGTCTCAATCTTTCCTTGCACAGGAACACGACGGCCGATTTAAATACGAAGCACATCGCGTGGAGCTCGAGACCCTTCTTTATCTTGCCGAGAAAGTCGGAAATATTGAGCCACTCGACGCCGCCGTAGTACAAAAGATCGCCTGGACTTAAGTCGATCGGCTGAGAAGAAATTAATGCGTTAATCAACGATTCTAAAACTATTCTGTGTGTATGTGTAAAACTTTGTTTATTTAAATGAAAAATTATGTAAAATTATATTAAAATTATAAGAAGAATAAAAGAAATTCAAAGTTTAAAATATAGCAGTAATTATTAGAGCAGTAAAAAGAGCCTAGAGAAAATTTCTATTCTTTAAAAGAATTATAATATAAAAGTTTTAGAGCTTTACATAAAACGTCATTCGTTAAATATGTAAAGTGACTGAAAATTACGTATGTCTTACTAATGTTAAATAAATTATTATAGTGTTTCTCGTGTTTTCTTTCTCTAATGATAAAATTGGAGATCGACTCACCTGTTTGCAGGATTTTTGGTGTTGCCTGAACAGGTGATCGAAAATAGCACCGTATTCTTCGTGGATTCTCTGCATCTCGTTTATATGCTCCGCCACCTTCTCCATGCCTTTGAGCGCCTCTGCAAAGTATACGTTTGTGATTAAATCCCTAATAGCGTCTTAAACTGTTCGTTACGGCCGCACAGCGTCGCGGTAATTACCGATTAAGTGTTGGTGTTCTTCGCTTCGTTCATCGGTGAGATTCCTAAGCTGCTGCAACAGCAGCGGATACTTGAGTATTCTTTGTATAGGTTTTATCAAGTACGATTCTAAGGTCGACGAGTGTTGCTGCCGAGGATTTCTCGCTTGCAGGAACTCTTGTAAAGCTTGATTTCCCTCGTCTGAAATTGTCGATTATCTCTGATAATTATCGAGAGATTGCTTCGTTCCGTCGTAATTATATAAAAATGCGATTTTGCAAGAAAGGAAAAAAAGACTCGTCCTGCTCGCGCGTCATTGAAATTAAGATTCTGGAACATTTCTACGTAAAGATGTTACATTGAAAATTCAAACGGACAGATGCTTTAATTAGCGTATTAAATTTTCAAGAGACATAAAGTAAAATGTCGCGAAATAATAGATGCCACTACAAAAAGTGATCGAACAATCTTTTTGAATTCTTAATGACGCAGTTTCTGGCGGTCGCAAAAATGTCCCTCACTCGCGGAAGATTGGCACGAATAATAAATTGGAGAACTTTCCGGGACCAATACATTTATAAAGAGTAACGATTGAGGTTGAACAGTTATTCTCGGCGAGTGAATTATTGATCGCGAAGGATCAGACGTGTTGACGTGAACGAGGAAGCGAAGGTCGTCACTCGCGAAAAAGAAACGATTTCAAGAAGAAACTTACTTGGATGTAAAACTTTCTGAGCCTTCGAGTGACTCGCGCAAAACGAGCTGTATAGCTTGAAGTGATTTACGTAATATAAGAAGGCACTTCCAATGGAAAACAGGACTCCCTGTAACAGCCATGAGAAGCGAGTTCTAAGTTTCAACTTGAAAGCTATAAAAATCAGCTTGATCAAACATGTAAATATTTAAATTGTAAATTGTTTTAAAAATGTGATTTCATAAAATCACTATTTTCTCTTTTATCGGCTCACAGTTGGCTATTGATAAAATAATCGAGCTGTGAGTTACGTAATTAGACTCCCATAATTAGATTCGGATCAACGATGCGCACCTTAAATTGACTCGGATGGTCAAAGCTATTGAAATCGACCTCCATCTCGATGGCGTGATCGAGATTCTGCAGGAACTGTCGTTGAAACGTGACGATTTCCTGGATATTACCAAACAGCGCGTTGATCTCCGCGTTCGACAGGAAGGTCTCGCGTTTAAGGGGTTCCAAGTAGTTCTCCAGCAAATTATTTAAATTCTGCAAACGCAAATAGGAAGAAATCCATTAGGTCGCCATTAGGTAGCAGTTGCCATTAAGCTGCTATTTGTTAATATCAATATATACATATATATATGTATATAAATTATCCATCATAAAATCTATAATAATTATAATATTTAATTGTTATTACCTTTACGTAAGTCCGTTCAGTCTCAATCAGTTCTAAAATCACTTTCTTCAGCTTCTCAGCGTCGCTAAGCTGCCGGCTCGGTGTGAGTGCCTGCGAGTGGGAACTGACGACGCTTCCGGTGGGACTCGACTTTCTGGTCTCACCTGGAGAACGGCAGATCCCTGTCACTTGTTCGGCAGTTTTCAAGAGGTTCTCGATTTCGAAGGAATTTGTGCGCGAGGACTGCTTGTTATCCATGTGACCGGCCGACGAACATTCCTGCATAATGTTCTCCTTGCCTGCATCAGCAAAGTGAAATTCGCGTTACGATGGTTAGGATGTGCTATGACGCACAAAAGTTCATATACTAATCATATTAATTATAATTTTGTCTACATGATTTTTACGTGTGATTTCGTTGTACTTAAACGTGTGATTACTATTTGTGATGATAATTTGCTATTGGAAAAAAACAATGTATAATTTGAAATAAGCTTGCTACAAAAATAATGAACAGGCAACCTAATACTTTTTCTGTTTCATGTTATATTTCATCGGTGTATAAATCGCGTCTCGACTAACAACGAAAAAATTAATCACGTGTCTTGATGCATCCTATTTGAAGAGCAACGTGTGTTTTCTTTCTCGTAATCTACTTTTGTGGCCTATGTGCCTCATTAATTTAATGAGCCCATCTTCAGAAGTGGTATAATCTTGAGTAATAGAAACAGTTCTTAATGCAACAATTTCTTGGAAGATATAAGACGAAAGGACTTACTCCATCCGGGTGCCGGTACAATCAGACCGGAAATCATTTCTTCGCTGATTACTGGCGGGTCGGTGGGCGGCGGCGGGCAGACCAGGCTGTCGATTATGTCATCGGTGACTCGCATAATGCCCGTGAGATCCGGTGGCTCCGTCCTGGAGGATCGCATCATCATGCAGAGACCCACCTCCTCCTGCAGAACGCTCTCCAAGTACATCATATCCAAGTCGCTCACGATGGCGCCGTTGATTACCATAATCTCGTCGCCCTTAATGATTCCTGAAAGCAGAGTCGCCCACGTAAAAATGCGTCTTCTTTAACGAGGATTTGTGCCGGAAAAGAATAATTGCAAGAGAGTAAAATTTTCGTCGACAATAAAGTATTTGTCGTTGACCGACAACGGAAGATTGCGGGGATTAGCGGAATTGTAATTGTGCAATCTCAATCTTCATCGTTGACGTGAAGAATATTTTATAGTTAATCGTTCAAATATTTTTCTCACTAATACTCGTAAACTTAAAATTGATAACGCGACAGAGTAAAAACTAACGTTTCGCGATTACCATTTTATAACGTTTAAGTAACTTTCAGATTTCGACTGAGATTGTTCGCGTATGCGATGCGTCTACGATCAACCGTTCGGCTCGGTATCTTTCGCAACTATAATAAGTCGCTCCCTTCGGTCGTGCTTAACGAGCTGCCCGATAAATTTAGACACGATTTGCGGAAAGGCGGCGCTAAATGTCATTCTGATTTGTTCGCGCCTGCGGCCCTAAGATCGTCCCACCCCCGGTGTGTGCACATATATGTATATACATATATATTTTTTTTTATTATATACATATTTCTTTTTTTACACGCATTATATGCGCTTCATTTAACCGTAAGCACGAGACTCTGTTCAACGAGCAAGCGACGAGGCGCGGAAAATCGATGATTTTTCAATGGCGTCCTTGCACGTCCTGGCGTCGATACCAGGTCTAAAAAAATTAATACGGTCGAACCTTAACGCAAGTCGTTTTCTAACATAAGATCCACAAGAAGATAAATCGAGACTGGAGAAGAGGGGTGGAATATCCGCCTTACAACGCGACACCATTTTTATTCCCATGGTGTCACTTGACATATTAACTTTAATACAAACTTATCTGGATTGATTTCAAAATTTGTTCATCTCTTTGCTCTACTAATATTAGTAAAGAAACTAAAGAAACCTTTTAATTAATTTGGTACATTACCTTGAAATTTTACCACATAAGGTTAATCAATTGTACAAAGAATCAACAGTGTTATAATAAAAGCAGACAATAAGAAAAAATTATCGTTAAATGACGAGAAATAAAAAAGACCTTGTAACGATCGAAACTTCTAATCGTTGCGTTCGAGGGACGTTTATTTTAGTTAGATGTTGTCCTAGATAAGGGGTGCTTACCGTTTTGCATGGCGACGCTCTTGTCTTCCACTCTACTAACGTAGCAGCAGAGCTCGTCCTGCCTATCGGAGTTTTCTATGAGCTCCGCCTCGACGGAGAAGCCCCACATTTGTTCTAAAGTGTTTCTTTGCAATTCCACTTGATATAAAATCTTGGCACAGACTTCCACGATTTCGTGCGTATGCAACTGCGCGCAGCAAAAAAGTTACGTTATTTTATATAAAAAATTGTTATTAAAAGTCACAACAATTTTAATCTAATCATTTTATAAAACAATCGATTAAAAAAAAATAGAGAACGGTAATCTTTTTCAAAGTAAACATTATTTTCTATTTGACTTATCTAATTATATAATTATTTAATAATTAATTTTACCATGTACCATAGTCTAAAATAATTCCTAGCTTTTTTAAATTATTTGTTAAAACGCATTCTTAAAAATTTTATTCTGCTCGATTAAATCCGAAATAATATTGTGATACTTTTAATTACTCTCATTCGCAAGTAACATAAAACAGTATAATATTTTATTCAATATCTTCGATATAATCTCGATTTTCTACCCACAAACTCTGCACATTTATATTCGCCATTCCGATCCGCCAAACTTACATAGGTTTCTATCAAATCAGTCCTATGTGGCACAAAGTAATTATGGTCCTCCATATCCCGGCGCTTTTTGACGCGCACAAAGTGCTCCATCGGATTGAGATTCTTTCTGGTGCACGCGCTCGCCAGGAACTCCTCCACGGTCATCGCGTCACGCAGGAACACCGAGACCAGCTGAAACAACGAACGGGAAACGCCGGGTCGCGCTCGCCTTATCCTTATCACACTCTAAGCGTAACGGAATAGAATTGCGATCAACTCACCCGATGTCCTGACGATCGTACCTGATTTTCCGGCACGGACACCTTCACGCTCTTCTCCTCGTCCCTGGACGAGATCTGCAGCGAGCGTCTGCTGGAGCCGCTGTTCGATCTCGACAACAGCGGCGGTCGTCTCTTCGTTGCTCCGCGACCCGCCAATAAATTATTTAGCAGGGACGGGCTACGCGCGCAGATAAACGCGTGGAAGGACGACACCGTGAACACGCCCAGCTTGTTTAGCGTTTGCTTCGTGGCGCGAGACACGTGCGTCAGTAGACTCTGAGGAAGAAAAAGGAACACGGAGTTTATTTAGTATCTTTAATTACCTGGATCAAGCCACTCGCTAATCCTTTGAGTTATTTTTAAGATTAAAAAAAAAAGAATTTTTGAATTTATAAATTTAAAAGACTTCTCAGATAATAGAATACGCGGAATGATCTAAAACTGCTGATTCGGAGAAATATGCCTTTTGGAAAGAAAAACCGTAAAAAAATGAGCTGTCCTTTCGCAAAATGTTGCGCATTCTAATACAACTTTTAATTATTGATTATGAATCGCATTAAAATCGCTTGGCTGCAACGATCGCGAGAACGTTAATTTAACGGATATTGCCTGGCTACCCGGTTCTCCTTCCCTCCCGCCCTCTCTCCCTCTTTCTCTCTCTTTCCTTGACGATCGATATCACTCATAACGAATGACACAAATTACATAAGCGCGACGTAGATGGACCTCTAACGAATCCTGATTGCGTGTACGCTGCGGACGAGAGAGATGATTTTTTTTTCTTTTTTTTTTTTTCAGGCAATTACAGCGACCCATGGGGCATGGTGCAGAAAAATTGCATCGCGTAATATTGTTTACCGGCGAGAAGTCGAGAGAGAACTGGCTTTTCCACGAAAGCAACGAAAGCTCACGGCCAAATAACAGCGTTCCATTCGACTGCGATTGGAATTGAGCGTAATACGTCAGTTCCGCATCGTCGCATTCGACGACGATCAACGAGAACGCGCGTATGTATGTGGCAAAATAGAATCAGCTCGACAACATGTAGCCTTCCGAATTCCTTCTCGAGATAAAAATGTTTGCACAAAAACCTTTGTGTAATCTAGTATGCTTAAATTAATCAAAAAAATAAAAAATATGTTACGAATGAAAAACATTTATGTAATATTGATTTTCATATAAATTCAATTCTCCGCAAAATTGTGAGGAAAATATGACGCGACATATATGTACGTATATTCTCACGAAATACAAATATTCAAAGTATTTTCATTATAAACACCAATATAGCTGCGACAGTTTTTTTTTTCAATTTCAAAATCAAAACAGTTATGCGCAAGGAAATGTTATTGCGTTACAGGAATATTACTGAATAATCGTAGCATGTATATTAGAGATGAAAAACATTAGAGATGATTTTTCTTCGGCTAAGCGATTTTATCTATAGCAGTATGGAGCAATTACGGACAATGCCGTATATTTTGGCCGGTCTACAAAGCGTTAATATTCTATATTACACTTGGTGCTGACGTTTCAATGAAGGTGGTGCTTACCTTCGGATTGGGCAATTCGCCACTCTGCAAACTGGCCATGTAGCACCGCAGGCGGAATTGCTCACAGTGGAGCCGTTCCAGATTCTCCTCCCACTGTACTATTTGATTGTTGATCTGCTGCTTGGTATCGACGTCGGAAACCACTGATTGCTGAAGATCCGCCATGTGCTTCATCTTGTGGTCCTACAAACAGCCAATACGATTAGCATTCCTCCTTTTCTATTCTCTTTCCTTTTACTAAAAATCAAGTTTAATAATAAAAATAGCGTAATTAAGAATATTAAATCTTGTAGTAATTTTTGTCAAGTTTGATAAACTGATAAAAAGCAATTGCAAGAATTTTTTTGCCTACATCCGATTCTTCTTTTCCATGCATAAGCTTCTTTTCATTTATATCCCTCTAGACTTTCGACAACAAACTCAGTCTGACGAAATTAAATCGATCAACTCGTATTCTATTCACGTACCGACTCGATCGCCTTTTCCAGACGGAAAATCTCCTCCTGCAGCAGATGCAGCGTGCCGGTCTTACCGCGATGACGCGCGAACGCGGCGGCGCACGCCGAATGAATACTGTTCACCCAGTTCTCCAGCTCCACTTGACACGGCGCCTAAACACAAAGCGAAACACACCATGTTTCTCCTCGAGCTGGAATTTGATCTCCCCCTTGGCGAACTTCGCCAAGCTGATCGATCGCTCGTCGCTCGCTATGTCGCTCACGTTTCCGAGTGATTTAAAGTCGTGGCAAGCTCTTAAGTAGCGACAGCGGACTATTAAAAGTTCGCCGTGTTGCGTGACCGAGGAACGAGATCGTGAGACGGGATTAATTAAATACACCTAGTTAGCGCGATTCGCGCGGTTAATGCACTCTCGAGGGCTACCGAAGTGCGGAGATCAAACTGAACCGGTACAATTGTTCCCCTCCGACTTTCCAATACTTTACCGTGTACTCTACTACAGTTCTTACTTCAAGTTTAATTGGCGTACTATATTTGCGATAATATTCAACGCTTATTAAAAAGTTCGTACATAAAAATGGCGAAACTATGTGCGAGCTACGCGAGTTATGCTGATTATAAAACTCCTGTTTTTATTTTTCACGTTCCGATTTATTTAAGTCTCCATCTATTAAAAGTTTAAAAGATGTAAAGAGCGCTTCATTACGGAGAAATCTTTTCCGTGTACACTCGCAAGTCGAATATTTTATTTCCTGTTTCTATATTTTTTTTAATAAACGAATTACGATAAAGTCGCCGTAAATTTTTTTACCTGGAATAGATAGGCGTCCCCGAACGCGGTGCTCAGGCAAAATATGTAATCCTTCTTCGGGTGTTCGGGAATCGGCTGCATGATCGCACCGTCGACGATGATCAGGTGTTTAGGTGCCGCCTCCATGGCCCTGCTCTCCTGTGAATCGCAGGGGTAGAAGAGGAGCGTGGTGCCCTTCAAGCAGACCCAATAACCCCTCCAGCCTCGCTTCTTGGCCAGCTCGATCTGATGCTTCTTGCGCAGCAACCATTTCTTCACGCTGAGAAATCTAGAAATTCCGAAGCGTTGCCGTTACTTCATTATCTCTTGCATTTCAATTTGTAATTGCATTAAAAAATAATTATATATTACGTTCATCTTTATTTCTATAATTTCCGCTCGTGTTCTCGAATCATTGAATTTAATTTCGAGATTATCGGATTTTTAATCGAATAAATATCATAAATAAATAACAATGATAAATATTTATTATGTAAAAACTTTCTCCGTTCGTTTGTTAAATTGATGCGGATTATCATATAAATATAAATATATATTTCAGAAACTGAATAAAGCACGCTCTAGATTACTCTTCGTTGTGGCCTTCATATATATGCTAATGTTATATTATAGATCTTTATATATAGGTTCTCAAGAATCTCAAGGCTCATTATTTTTAAAGACTAAACAGAAGAATATAAAGAGTAATACGAGAGAAAGACGTACCCTGCCTTCCGAACTGCACCGGTGCAATTGAATGAAGCTGCAGCCGTGCCGGTCTGCTTTCGATAGGGCGAATTTATAGCACTCTCGCCGTCGTCATCGTCGCTGACGGCGGTGGTGAGTGACATCCTATCATCGTCCGACATCTGGAAAATACGTTAGGCTTTATCTTTAGCTGAACGCGCTCATCGCCGTGAAAATCGAGACAAATACGGACGACTCCGCGTCAAATTGGACAGCAGGCAATCGATTATGTCTCATTCTACTCGAATTCTTTTTGTACTCGCGCTTTATAGGAAGACATAAATTTATATAACGGTTTAATGTCAAACGGTTTAATGTCAAAAGAGTTTTTCGTGGAATCGCCCGTATATGCGTGAAAAGGAAAAATGTGGTCATGTATATAAAAGAGAGAGAAAATGTGCATAGAGAAAATGTATTGTGCGATTGTGAAATAGGGTGATAAAGGATTATGATTATATGCAAAGATCTAGATTACTGACAATGATAGGATGCTTTACGTGTACATAGTTTATCGAGAGTTCCTCGTCTATCTAAAAGTGCACATTTAGGAATTTTAAATATGGATTGTGTTAAATATATCTACTACTATTTACAATGTATATATATTTATTTACCAACAACCTATTTACTGATCCATTGAAAATGTATTTATAGATTATATAATGCGTCATATAATCTAATTTACTGAAATTATTTAATTTTACCTTTATTATATATAACCATTAAATCTTTTTATTAATTACGGGCAATGGATAATCAATTATTAATTAGTATCATTATAATTAAATCAGGCGATTACTATGGACAAATAAAAGGACATTAAATTAAAAAAAGGAGCAAACGCATTACGAACAATTAATTGGCAGTGGAGATGTGCAAAGAAATCTCATAGCTTTAATCAGCGCATGCTACTCGAACGTGGCAACTAGTATCGATGCAACTTTAGCTTGACTCGTCTGCAAGTCCATTGCGCAAGAAGATCGTGTCAGTTTCAGGAGCTAACGCGGGCGTACATGCCAAAATTTCTACTTTACTCGCGTTACGTATAGCAAAAAGACAGCCGCGTCGCAAATGCAAAGTGCAATGCTTCGTCTAATAATTCCACTGCTTTCGCTGTCCATCCCCTCGTTATTTTCGCTCATTTGTCGCGTTTAAGACTCTATCGATTTTGAAATGTGACGCTTTTCGAGTAATGTGTGATTATTTTTTTGTCCAGGCTGGTACATATTATTGCGAAACGATGGCGAGATGAAAATGAGATGCGATATTCGAGTGCGAGAATGAGTGCGAGTAGTCAGGGGGTCGACGAACGAAAGTCCAACGGAAACGGCGTATTCGGAGGCACGGACTTGTCCCTTCTACCCTCGCTTCTCTGGCCGAGGCGCATGCCAATAATACGAGCGATAATCCTGGTGCGACCGTTGCAACACACCGGGGAAAAATAAATATTTATATATATATATTCGGGGACATGTACAATATATCGAGAGAAAACATTCCTTCCAGAAGAGATATAAAGAGATTCGCGCGATTCGTGATCCTCTACCTTTTTCGTAATATTCATCATGCCGCGGAGCCTCTCGCGTATCCCCCTGAGGCTCTCGTCGGCCCAGAAACTTACGACTCTTCTGAGAAAGTCGGCGTTGCACGCATCCGCCGTCATGTGCGGATGGTAGTGGCAGTAGCAGCCCTCCTTTAACAGCCTCATGTTGTTCTCCGCGCTGCCGTTGATCCTCAACATAATCTCGCGACGCGCCACGCTCAGCCCGTCGATGTAGCGTTCCGCCCAGGCGTTCAGCGCCCCGTTCACCAGTCGCAGTAATTTGTGATAGTACCCCTCGCCCGAGCCGTACGTCACCTTCTCCTGCACGTTCCGGCAGTTGAACCAGTACAGCTTGCGCGTCTCGTTAATGCATATCACGCTAATCGTGTGCCTGCGGCACCAGCAGAAGTATTTCCAGCAACGTCGCTGATGCTGCGTCTTCAGGTCCGTGTAACAATCGTCGCTCGGGTCCAGCAAGTCCAGGGTGCTATTCGTACACTTGATCGACCATCTCGGCTCTACCATCATTCGTCGTTCGCTGTCGGCGGTGAATCAACGAGGAAGAGACGCGGAACCCGCGGCTGATGGTGATGCCTAGGAGAAGGATATCCTTGGGATATCCTCTGCAGGTTCCTGATTGTGGCGCATGACGGTCTCGCCGCCGGTGGCCACGGCGGCGTCTCGCTCCTCCTCCGGCGGTGTCATCTTATTGTCTCGCGGACGGCAGAAGAAAATATCCACGTGGCTCGATGAGATATTCTCGTACGATCGATTGTCGCGGTGTGTAAGCTCGATGGTGTGTCGCCTCGAGAAAAAACGCTTCGTACTCCCACGATCTTAATGAACGTCTCGAAGTTCAAGTCTCGACGTTCTCGTTAAAGTCCCTTTCGCGATTGAATATTGTATATTGCCAGCTGCTCTCCGCCGGAATTATCGCTCGCGGAATCCAATATTCAAGCGTCAGCGGCTTGCCGATCGCAAATATCCACGCCGAATAAAATATAAACAACACATTCCGGAAGCTGGGAACGACAGCGGGGAAACAGCTGTCGTTAATCAGGTTCAGCTTCAAGCTCGCCGAGTTTTACGACAAGTTTATGCTCCGGGGAAATTGGAAATCTCCCTCGAATTTATCAATAGAGTCCTCTATTTTAAGGCAAACGTCTTTTGCACTGTTAAAATCAATCACGGCTTAGAGAGAGATCTCTTAACGTTAAACCTTTACGGACTACGGTCTAATCTAGCTATCTCGAGAATCCAAAGTGTGGGCGATGACGCACGAAGAAGCACAAGCGCGGCGAAGAGATATCCGCCACGGGTGTTCGCAGGTACTTATACGCAGAGAAATTCTACCGTAAGAATCCTCGAGATTTCCTCGAGAGATTTCCTAAGTAAGAGAAGCGCACCAGCAGGAAGTATCGTCGTCGACGACGAGCTGGACGATCGTGGACGACGCCACTCCGACTCCCGTCTTTAAGACGGGGGGGTTGATAATATATAGAATATTTTCTATCTTTCTCTCTCTTTTCTCTCGCTTATATAATAGAAACAAACTATCCATAGAAAAATACTCTCTCGCTTAAGTATACATATAGATATACTCTCTGAATGTTGATCCTCGCTCCTCCCCAGCTGATTTCTCTCCTTTCCCACATATCGCTATATAGGTGCCCTCTCAAAGCCATCGATTTTCTTCTCTCTCGCGGAAAAATGCGCTGCAAATCATCGTACACTCCCTAAACCCCGCGCCTTATCTAATACTCCAACTTCATCCCAAATATATTATTTCAATCTTTAACCGATCCCCTTCTCGAGTATATTCTCTATAGCACCTTATCTGATTTCTGTCCCCTTCTCAGATATAATCTTTCACGCGCTCTATCATCAATAAAGCCTCCCCTCCCCTCGCGTAGCCCTTATATCAGTAAGTCGTTCGCCGATCGACCTGTCTTTGATTCTCCGGAAGTCATTCCGCGGCGGAAATCAGCCTCGGGATGATCGTTGGGCGCGAGGGGCAGAAGAGGATCCAGGTACCCAGTTGCCATTGTCGACGCGCGCCGGCACGTGCGACCGAATTCCGTACGCGCGAGTGTCCCTGAAGAGGAGCGCGATCAGCGTGTCGCCGCCGCGCGCCCTAACTTCCGGTCCGCATCCGTGACGCAAAGATCCCAATGAAGTCCTACGGGAGTCCCCTTTCGCAATTATCGCGCAATTTCCGGGAACCAGCGATCGCTTCGAGAGACTTCTGAAGAACTCTTCTAATGATCCTTCTCGTTGAATTCACCGGAGGTCTCGTCGAGTAACGCGACTGCACTTCCGACTCGCGTATCAACGTGGAGAATCCCCCGAGGACTTGATTATCGCGCTTCCAGACGCGCCATCGTGGAACGTTTTACAATCTCGCATCTCCGCCGACGGTCGCACAGGTTCTTGCGTTTACGCTCGATGCAGCAGCCCTCCGCCGAGTGTTCTCCCCGCAGGGGCGGTGCGACGAGGGAGATTCGTTGCCGAAGACGGATCGGATGCGATTCACGGGACCGGGACCGGGACCGGGACCGTCGTCGTCGTCGTTCCGGGCGAAAACGCGCGTCCTCACCCGCGTTCTCCAGCGGGTAAACGACAGCCGTTGGCGCCGTTGCCGACGTGGTCCGGGGACGTGTACCGCGCGCGGCTCGGCGACTTCCGGCGCCCGCGCATCGGCGCATCAGCGGGCGCCGCACTCTCCGAGCGCACCCCGGCGACGCCGACGGTGCGAGGCCGCGGTGGAGGGTGCCGAGAGAGGGAGAATAAGCTGCGTCGTGCCGCGTCGCGTTCTCCACGAGGTCGCTCGCTCGCTCGCTCAGCTCGGCTCGGCTCGTTCTCGCTAATAATGCGTGGCCGCTCTAATACGCGCCCATCGATCGATGGTACCCGCTGCACGCGAGGTTGTACCGCGATGCGGAATCGCGACCGAGTGCTCTCGTCATCGTCGGAGTTTTGTCTCACCGCCGCCTACGGCGGAAGCGGTTGGGGATCTCGCGGCCGACGACGCGTTGGCACCGATCGCGATGAATTTTAACGCGAACGAGATACACTTCTCGGGATGTAGGGAACTCTTTATTATTTCTTTCTCTTTCTCTCTCTCGCGCTCGCTCTTTTTCTTTTTTTCTCCTCTCCTTTCTCCCTTTCCTTTGCGCGCGGATGTCACCAAGTCCGCAGCCGCGAACGCGCTTCGCTCCGGACTGCCGCTGGAGAACAGGGAAGAGGAGCTGCTGCTACCGCGAGGGGAATCAATACCTCGGTCCTTGTGGTGGTCGAAGGGGGCTTGCAGGGAACGAGCGGAGGCGAGGAGGAGGAGGAGGAGGAGGAGGAGCGGAGAAAGCAGCGATAGCGAGGGGTGGGATGCCATGGAAGAGGGAGGGCGGTTGGCACTGGGATATCGTCGGTGGTGGTGTCCGCGACGCGGGGTGGGGAGCTACCCAGCTTCGGAGGCGAAACGAGGTACGAGCGAAAGGGGTGGTATGCACCGCCGCGCCGGGGGTGCATAGAGGCGAGATAGGGGGGCGAGGGGGTACGTGACGCGCTCTGCGCTGATCGACGCTGACGGCCAAGTTGCTTGCGCGATGATTGTTACCGCGCTGCCCCAATGACGAATATCCGATTCGCGAGGGAGAATCGAGCTTCGAGACGAATTTCAATAAGTAAGGCGGTAATTCCGCATCAGCTCCCCCGAGCGCTGATTCTTCGAGAGACGCCGGATTACTTTTCTGGAGCCGCGTCCTCGGACGAATTTATTTTCAGACGTCAAGGATGGCAGCGAGAAACTTTTAAGCGGTGTAAGAGAAGCTCTTTATAGATCCGCCGGCCGCTGCTGTTCTATCACCTTGCAATTTTCTCTAGTCAAAGAGAGAGAGAGGATCGTTAGAATTTCAGAGTCTTGTAACATTAATTTTAACGCTCTTCTGCGTTAAACTCCCTCTTTCAATATATTTTCGAGTAATAAACACGAGATAATTATATTCTCGAAGACTCCCTTTTCTTAGTGAAGTAAAAGGTAGCTAGAAAAACAGTTCTAATTTTCAATTTAAATATCAAACGCATCGAATCGTCTTTGTATTCGAATGGGCCCCAACGCGCCGATCTTCGGCTACTATATCCAAATATACCTTAATTCTTTATTCGCGTTTTCAGCGTCGTGTATTTTCGTCGCCGTAAAAGGAAACCGAGGGAGAAACAGGGTAGAAAAAAATTTATCCTACGCGGATTATGTATAACGGGTTGGCGCGCATGCGAGCAACGTGAAGTTTTATTGAATTTTACAACATAGTTCCTCGCGACGGAGGGCGATAAGAAACGTCGGTGAGCCGTGGAGCGTATCGTGTCCCCCCATATCGGAACGATATACGGTCCGTCTGATTTCTATGCGCGGACGATTGAATTAGAATCAGATGTCTACTACTGATGTCGATCGCGTCGCGCGTCGATCTTTCCGATTCGCATTTGCGTTGCTAACGCGACAGGGAGGAGGGATGAAAAACGGGGGTTGAAGAAGGGCCAAAGTCGCGAAAGATTTGCGCGCGCGTTTGCGCATGCACCTGTTGGCGTAGGCTGCTGCTCGACTTGTGCAATGGTGCAGGGGTGCTCGGATTCTTATTTACTCTCGCACGTCGAGCTCGGCCCGCTAATCTCGGCGCGACCTATTAACCCTTAGACGCGTATCTTTGCGCACGACGCGCCGCAAAAGCCCCCGACCTTTATGGAAGATTGTTGTGTTTTGAGAAAGATGCTGATATCGCTCCCAGAACGGAATTTTTCAATTTTTTTTTTCAATTATTTTGTAAGGAGTATCGTCTTGAAATAAAATTAGGATTTACGACCCTATAAAGTTTCATTATATTCCTGTAATTATGTCTGTATATTTAGATACAATTTATTTGTTACATATGGGTATCTTCAAATTTAACGCTTCTATTTGAAATCGTATTACATGCAACCACTGTAACCGATCGATGCGTAAAAGATGCGGTGGACTGAAATGGTACGATAGAAACAGCTGTTGGACAATTGGTCGAAATAAAAGCCAACGTTTGCGTAAGCGTTGCACCAACAGAATCTCCATTACTCCGCGGTTGATCCCGATGGGCACCGTCGCCGAACGTATACGCGTGTATATGCACCCCCGTGTCGGAGTGGTGTGTTTGCACGCGTATATATATACGTACGCGGTGATTCGCATTCAGATTCCTGCACACGTATGAGCCCCACCCATTCCACCGATCTCTATGTACCCGTCTACGTCTATATATCTATATATATTCCTCTGTAGCTATATACCCACACGTTTCTATTTGTGGTGCAAAACAACCGAGACGGGGTGCTTACTCCGTATAAAGGGTTGCGTTTAGCGACGGGCTCGAGCGGCTCGCGAGAACGAGACACAGGGTCAGTAGGTTATCGATGTTCGTCGGTCACACATAAACGCCCTTCGTACACACAAGAGAGCGGATCATGCGCCCGCACAATGCACTCGTCGAAAGTTCAAGCACTTACATTGGCACACGACCTGTCGCGAGATATAGTATAAATGAAATGGAGAAGAAAATGGATCGCGGTGACCCGCGGTGTGCTCGTGTGGTATACTTTTGCCGAATTGTCTGCGAAACGGGACATCGGACTCCCGATTATCGACACGTATGGGCATTTCCGTTTCCTCCGATTCGCGCTGACCTCTTTTGTAACGCCGCCGTTACACGATAGGCGTGGCCAGTGCGAGAGCGCAATTTGTACAACCGGAGTTGGTCCGCGAGAGTTGCGCAATTTCTCGTAACTATTAGAAACGGGAAGTAGTTCTGAGGTATTGTGCAAACATTTGCGAAATGTACCTGCGTGCATTAACGTCGTCGAGAAAGTAGAAATGGAAAAAGTTCGAAATTTCAATAATAAAACGATTGAATATAAATTCCTAACTTAAACCTGTTACAAGACGCGATCTCTATAATTAATAGAAAATTATAACATAAGTTTTATTGTATAGTTTCGATCAATAAAAAAATATTAAGATACTAAAATGGTTGAATTTATATCTTTGAGAATAAATTACTAAAAATTATATAATTTATTTGTTAACATATTCGCAGAAAGAGATTTGTAGAAATCGTATTTCTTTCGTCTCAATGTGGTCGTGGAACCACAAATTATAAATCGAAGCAAACGAACGAAATGCAAATTGCTTTATCGCAAAAAATATGCTCTTATCTACCGCGGTCTGAAGTGGCTTTACAGCCTTCGAGAACAGTTGCCGCCATCGCTCATCGATTTGAGCTTTCGCAAGTAGAGCTGGGTACTTCGCTCCGTTTTAAATCACAAATGGACGGTAAGAGCGCGAGAGAAAGAGAATCTCTTCAAAGGGCTTTAAGAATAATGCATCCATGCCACGTCGCGTATATACGCTTTTGCGGAGAGTTTTGTGTTGTGTGCAGCGCATGCAACGGGGGCGAGAGATGAAAAAAAGCCAAGCAGCAATAAAACCCACATGAAGCGACTTTTTCATTATAAATAAAGAGAATAAAGGAAGACGACATTATGTTATCAATTATATATCTAATTCGCAATTTCATTTACGGTTTAATTACTATTTAAAACAACTGTAATAAAAGCTGATTAGAATAAAAAAATGTAGTTTTAATTAATTCGATAAATATTAATTATATTCCAAATATATCTTTATATCCTTTTTAATTAAAATTTTAATAAAAGAAAAATAAATTTATTATAATTTTAATTTATGTAAATAAACATTTTTATAAGTTATATTTCACTTTATTTTATATATATCCACACGTGTTTAATTTAGTTTAATATATTACTTCATTAGAAAATTGTATTATATATATTACAATTCGTAAAAAGTATTTCCAAAATTTAATAAATATTAATAATATTAATTAATTGTATTGTATAAAATATACCATTTATAAAATGTTTATTCATATAATACACACGTATATACTACTAACTACTTTATATTGTTTCACAAAAAATCTATATTCCATCTATTTCCAATTAAATCAATAATCCCAATCGTGTTCCGCGGTCGATGTGCATTACCGTCTCGCATTTAATTAATATTAAAATATGCATAATTAGATTTAATATTTAGCACGGCATGTACACGATTCCTAAGTGCAGGGGATTTAATCTTTTAATCTTCGCAGCAATCACAGTTATCGATTATCGGAGCGAATTAAGAGAATACGATCTTTATTAATAATCTACGACATGGCTTCATGGTTACTGTCGGGCGTGGAATTATTCGGAACTGGCGGGGACATATTCTAGACATGCAGAATATCAACGCAAGACATCCAAGCGGACCTTCGCATGTATCATAACCGCACATAGCACGAATAGATACAAACGCGCTACAAAGGCACTGTCGAGTGGCACTTGGATGTATCAGGTTGATAAGGTCAACGAGTGCTTGGATAACTCACCTCGGAAGACGTCAAGTAGCAGAGCCTTGAGTCGGTGCTCTCCAATGAGGCTTGTTGAACGATTCCGTATCTGCCATCCCGGTCGGACATGTAGTCAGATCTGACGCTGTCCTGTCTGTCAAAAGTACCTCTGGAATAAACAACACGTCCAACTGAATACTGCGTCGCATTGCCACAAAAGCGTACGAGATAAACGTCATTCAATTACGGACTCTCTTTCTCTTTTCGCGCTCTCTTCTAATTAAAAAGTGTTTCATGGAAAACACTTTTCCTGATTAACAATGTTTATTATATCGTTGGCGAATTACGAATATACTTTTCTTGATTGTTGCAAAAATTAATTTGTAGTAAATTTTTCCCACATTGCTAAGTTCTCATGCACATGTACAATTTATGCAATTTTAATTTTAAGCTCATGCTTTATAAAAATATTAAAGAGAGAGTAGAGAGCTGTAATTTCTGACTTTACACACACACACACGACAACCATTTTTAATTATTTCACATACACAACGTGCTCCTCTATATGATGAGATACAAATATGACTGAGTTATATCAAACTGGATCATATCTTACCGTACGATCAGCGAGAAATATTTGTTAATATTTGCAGTATAATATAAAAGTTACGTTTCTAAGGCTGCTTAATGTAAAGAACTACTGTTAAGATTAATAAAATCGCCTTCGCGACAGTACAGAGACCAGTCGAGATGTGCGATTAAAGCAGGAAGGGAGCGCAGAGCACAATGAAAGTATGGAAGACAATGCGAACAATATAGGGCAACAAAAGGTAGATGGTAGCGAATGAACGTCAACTATAAGAAAAGAACTCTAAAGTACAAGTACGCATTGTGCCGAAAGAACATGTTCTTCTTTATGTTCATGTTCTTCTTTAAACTTTTAGCTACGGATATCTATTTATATCTATATTTTTGCTGCGTACTCGTTTCAGAAAAAGCTACCGATAGATTAATTAAGAATAGATGGTTCTACATCTTTTAAATATGATAAATGTGACATGAGAAATGTTACAGTCTGAAAATATGAATGTGTTCAATCTTAAGATATAACTGTTAATGATTTCTTCTGCGGCGAAGCTAATCTAGGTATTTTGCACCATCGCCGAAGATTATACATAATCAAAAAATGACAAATAATCATAAAATTTATAGAAATATATTTTACACCTGCGTTCATCGTACAATCACCAATCATGTTTGCACTAAAAATTCGCAATTTCTTCCAGATATCTTTCCCTACATTCTACCTTTAATAATCACTTCTTGCATCCTTCTTTTAAATTACTTATAGCTAAAAAGAGAGAGTCATTGTTGCTTGGGCGTGTAACTAAAAGTAAAAACCGGATTAAACGAATCTATCTTTGGAACTCGTGTAGAGATTTTTCGAGCATCCCGCACGAAGATCATCGATTCGATTAACTTGGATGTGAGGGATTTGTCTCCCTCACCTTTGTTCGAGCGAGTCAGTTCGATTGGACTTGTAACCGCTGTCGTTGAGACTGCCTTCGTGTCTCAGGGACGGCAGAGAATCCCAGGGCGATTCTCTCTTGTGTCCCGAGTATCCTGGATTTATCGAACTCGAGGCGCCGGAGCCGAAGGTCGAGCTGCCGGACTGCCATCCGTCTGAATGCCGGAACCATTGTGCGCGCGCGGATTCCCCGATACAGCTGGCGCATCTGCAAGCATCGTGCATCATGTAGAATATGTAGATCAATTGTATACGATACATCACGTAAGTTATCGCATTTCGCGAGAAACCCTTGTATTTAGAAGCTCCGCTTCGACATAAATAAGACACAAATTCTCACAGTTTGAGTAACGCCCATATAATATTTGATAAATTGTCACGAAAATAATTGTAAAATAATTGTCAGAGGTTATCTTGTAAGTTGACTTGTACAATCAAGATGCTGAATAGAGTAAAACGTTAACAAAGTATATCTCTTATGGTATTGCGTTTCTTATCAATAATAACGTTAGACATACCGAACTCGAATAATGACTCATTCAATTTACAATTCTTCCTTCATGCCTCTTGCTAAGATCAGTTGCGATTGTTAAAATTAACAGATTAATATCTCGTTTGTACGACGAGTTTGTCGATTATTTAATACTTAAAAAAAAAAACATCAAAGAATCGAGAGAACATGTTTCGGCAAGAAGTAAACGCCCTTCTTGCCGAACGTCATTGCATAAAACGATATCCAAGTACAAGGGATTAAACGTGTCCGTGCCCTAATGCACGGACGTTGCGCAGTACCGTGCAGGTACGGGTGATAAATCCGAACTGAGCACGCCGGTCTTCGCGTCGTCCTCCTTGCCGAGCAGCTGAAACTTGACGTGCTTCTTGCTCCGCGACTGGTCCCCGGACCCGTCGTCCAGGATCCGGTAGAACACCTTCTCCGGCAACTTCGGCAATTTCGGCGTCTTCTTTGGCTCTCGCCGCCTCTCGAGCGATCTGTATTTACGCTGCAGATTGTAGCTCATTGTCGCGACTTAACTCGAATCCCTTGTCGAACAACGTTGGCGCTTTAGATCGGGTATTTGCGCCGCGGATCACGCCACGGCGATGTCGAGCGGTTCGACAATTAATTCGATGTTTGCACTCGGTGACGAGGGGGATGATTGTCCACCGGTGCGCTGAAAACGGTCGCTGTTTACGCTCGCGGCAGCGGCGGAATAATTATTTCCTCTCGTTCTGTTTTTCGTGCCGGCCGCGACAATCACGTGCGGCAGAACGAAATAATTATCCGCGCATTCGTTTCGAGAGCATGCACTGATGTTTGCGTATGGCTAAACGTGATGCCAGACGAAGTAATTATTATTGCCGTTCGAGGGCGATTATCCTCGTCGATTTCGTTTGGAAATTATTTCCATCCAGAGATAAATATTTCTTCCTCGGGCTTGCTCTCAAAATTGTCTTTATCTGCAATTAGATATAACGACGAAAATATTACATTCCACTTAATTAAGAGTTTCGAATCTCTATTTAAATTCTCAGCGACAGCGAGATAAATATTATATCCAAGGGTGTCAAGGCGACTCGACCTTCGTATGGGTGTTCCAGTTCTCAACGTCAGTGATTCATCCCTATCGAATAAAAATATTTCTCTCCGGCACTCTTCGCACTTTCATCTATCACCACGCAATACCTAAACTGCAATCGATTCGTTTAGCGACTCATTATTATAGCGATGTCTCTCCGCACACCTCATATTTACCAAAGGGCTCACGTGAACAACTGCACTCGGCGCACATCACAACGCAACCCCCTCGGACACCACATCACCTCGCACTATAGCACACGTAGGACGCCGAGATGCGCGCGATTCCTTGTCCTCGCAAGACCCCGTCCCCGATCCGTGTCTCTCGGATCCGCGCCTCGACACACCGGAAGTCATCCGCCGGGACGATCGCGCGCGCGAGCGAGCGAAACTCCAGCCGCGGTTTCTTTCTTTCGTCGGTGGGTCGTCTCGCGACCACGGAACACCCTTCTTCTTCGCTCTCGCCGTCCAGCTGAAGCCCACTCGCGGGGTTTCTATATTTATCACGGTGCGGCTTCGCCGTTGTCAGCCGCCGTCGCTGACCCGTGATGCACAACGCGCGCCGTGGCGGCCGGCGGGGATGATGCATGCATGCGCCGATATTGCCCGAGCGCTCTAACGAGAGAGGCGTACCTTCGATAGACCTCGATAGACACCACGCGACGCCCGTCGACGCGCGTCACCCATCGATATCCTCCACACGGCGCACGTGACATTCTTTTTTTCTCTGCGCCGCCCGCGGGGGCTTATCGATGGGCGATATACTACATATCCGGTGATATTATCCAGGTCGCCCTTAATGGACGAGCACGTCTCATTGACCGCCACCCGACCGCCGGTTGGCCGCAGGGCGCAGCTCTTTAAATGTCAAAGTCTCGCAACGGCGGACTTTCGCGCCTTTTTCGATGCGCGCACCCTTTGGCAAACCGAAGGGTCGGTGGCTATTATCAGGCCCTATCACTCGCGTCAGCGTTAATTAACGTTTCACTACTTGCATGAAAGTGGTATTTCAATGGGGCAGAGGTGGAAAGCGTTAATGAATCAATTGATCCGAATCATATATACGAAATTCATTCCAGAAAAATATTTAAATTTTATGTGTGAATAATTGGAAAATAATTAGAAATTGAGAATCGTTGGGATTTCTACGTTGTGCCGGTGTAAAAGTGATTACAGAATCATATCTGACGCAATGCCTTTATTTAACTCACACTGTCGAGAAAATACTTTTGTTGAATAATCAAATGAGGAGAATAAGACTTTTCATATTTCATATTATTTTACGCGGCACGTAAATTGCACGTATGTTTCTTCGTGGACGCACGGCTTATATATTTATAATTTTTAATCGTAATCTAAATTTGAAGAATCTTATTCTCTTATCTGACTATGCAATTACGTTCGCGTGTAAAGCGTGATTTACTTATTCTTTATACCATCCAGGTAGAATTCAGTTTCATTCAGATGAATGAAAGCGCGGTAAATTAGGCGGATGCGTGAAACCTTTTACGGTGCAAATGTTGATCTTAACGAGGGTTGGAGCAGTAGTTTACCTAGAATTGTAGTCGCTGAGATAGCCGCGATCCCGTTCGGCGTCTCGCTCTCTCTTCTCTCTCACCATCTCGTTGCGATCGCTGTAGTAGCCGTCTCGGTCCTTGCTATTCTGTCTCTCGTTGCAGTAGCGGTACGATAGCGGCAGGGTCGACGATTTATTGGAACTGGAACCTGTAACCGTGACAATTGGTTACGAGCGGAAGATATAAATGCATTTTCAATCAATTATATATTTTCTTAATTCTCTAATTATATTATTTTTTCTTAATTTTCTTAATTCAACTTACGTCTTCGTGAAGCGTGAGGCGTGCGCTGAACGTTCAACGGTATGTTTTCCGCAAATTCTGAAAAACAGAGAAACTCTCTTTTTAATTATTCGCGATACGGTAAGTCTTTACAATCAATTATTTCGATCGTTTTACCATCTTGATAAAAACTGGAAAGGTTACGGTTAAAGTTTAATTAATTCATTCGCTTGAAAAGAACACGGGTCGGTGAGATACACAAAGAGACCATGTTTCTTGATCACTAGAATAGCACGTAATTATTTTCCTGAAATTTAATTTCTAAAATGCCATGTTACACAGAGATTAAAATGAAATCTTGCCAGACCTTTTACTGAGAATAACTACATTATTCGTTCGTTAATCTCTTAAAATACAATGCAAGTAATTTCACGACGTAACGCACTTCTTAAATGAAATTCCACAAAACGAACAATCAATAATTATCTTAAAAAAATAATAATAATAACTTGTTAAAAGAAATAGAGAAAAATAAATTTTTATAATCGATAGAAAGATCTGAATTTTTTTCATTGCGAATGTTAATTAAATTTTCGTTATAAATATTAATTAAGCTCTTCTAAAGAGACCTCGTGAATAAAAAATTATTTAGTTGGCCCTGTCAAAGAGATTAAACCCAAGTCTCACCCAAGTTCTCCATGCTCTGCGTGAGCAGAGCTTCAAACGTGCGCAGGCTGTAGCTCTCCGCGTCCATGCCTTTGGCGAGGGTGTTCCTGAGATGCATCTCGTACTCGAGGAGCAGCCGGCTGGTCGGGCTGCCCGGTGTCGAAACCGACTGCATGCTCTGCTGATATGTCTGGCCGCCGTTGCAGCGGCGGGAGTTGCAGTGGTTCGGCTGCTCCATGTCGGAGTTGCCGTTCGACGAGCTCGGGGTGGTGGCGTAGCACTGGTTGTCGAAGATGACATTGTCCGAGGGCGGCGACATGTCACCTGTGCACCGATTACGTTCCGAATCTAAGTACGTCCTGCCTCTGCCGCCTGCGGGCAGAGAGGTGCAACCGAATGTGCAGGATGTACGACGTGGACGTGGTGAGACGTGCGGCGCGTACGCTGATCAATGGGGTGAGACGTGTCAAGTTAGTTCGGGAACGGCGAACGCGTAACCTGGGAAGCGGTCCGTCCGAGAATGAGCCATGAGACCGCCGTAGGGCTGACAGGACAAGCACGTTGTCCCCTAGTGCGCATGTTGTGTAAGACGGTCAGGAGTAACAAAATGTTAGGGGGTGATGGGTGACCCCGTGACTTTTCATCAGGGTGGCTGCCGCATTGTGCGTTCTGTGTGCGCATGTTAATGGATGTAACTAAAGGTTAGAGGGACAGGTAGACGTCAGAGGATCAGTCACCGGTTAGTCTTAGGGACTTCCTACAGCGTTACCCGTTCGCCGGTGTCATGGGGTCAGGCAAGGGGTGAGACCACGTGCAGGATCGATCACGTAATTGTCGGTGTGAACTTTGTCACCTTTTTACTTTTTGCCATTTTAAATCACGCTCGATTAAATCCTGTCATTTTGCGACAAATAAAAATCATGTTATAATCTTTCGAAAAATTGTGTGGAAAGTTTCGTATTTTTAGAGGAAAATTACGTGATCGATCCTTCAATTGCTTTTGAACGTTTCCATTGTTGAGAATTTTATCCGAATTGTGATAATTTATTTTACAACTGTTCCTTAAATTAAAAAAAAAACCTTAGGCTTTCATTCGACTGATTAATTTCATAAAATTGTCAACAATAAATTATTTCAACAATGATAGCGTTACCCCACTTAAATTTAAAAATTTAACATATTTTAAAGAACAGATTACAGCATATAAAACTAACAAAGTGCTTAAACATTAATCACATTCGTTGATTCATTAAATCCAAATTATTAAATCTCATTATACTGTAGATATGTGTATGGACATTTATAAATAGCAAACGTGCAACAATTTAAAACGTCAGGACGACATTGAAACAATTAAAAATTATCTGAAAAGATCATGAATTAAAAGAATTAAACGACGATAAGAATTAACAGTAAATCAGCGATACCGGCGAGGAGAAATCATACCGGAGTATTGCCGACTCATATCGTGGGCGCTCCTGGAACCCTGGAACTTGTTATTGTAAGGCGCGCGATACGGATGCGCATAGTTCTCGTTGTCGACCTCCTGCATCATGTACTTCTGATTGTTATTGCTCGGATGGTAGTGATAGCTGTGATGGCTGTGACGTTTTCTCGTCATCTCCGGCGACGTTACCGGGCTGTCGATGCTCGGCATCGGCTTCAGCATGCGCTTCAGAGTGTTCGAGTCCAGGCTGATGCCGTTCTGCGCGTTCTCGATCCGCATGTCGTCGGTGCTCTTGCTCTTCGACCTGTGACCATGATTATTGTTGACGATATTAAAGAGGTTGCCGTTCTGCATCTCCAGCTCGGTGTAGTCGGCCGACTTGGTGTGGTGGAGCTGTTCCTTGCGGTGGAACGACCGAGGGTTGCTCTGGAGGGTACCGCCGGCCTGAGTGCCCTCCGACTTCAGCATCTCAATGCCGTTCTGTTGCGTGGACGTGTCCTGGCTCTTCTGCTTCTTCGGCGATATCGTGGAACCTTTGTCGTCGGGGCTGTCGATCTGTGGAATGGGTGAATTATTGATAAGCTCAAGGTAGTGTTTTCTAACTTTGATAAAGGACATGTAGTTAAAATTTCCATGAAAAAGAAATCGAGTTAATCTTTTATAAAACACTATACTATAGGAAAAATACGAAGAAAATAAAAAAAAGTTCTCTGACTAGAAATTAATGTTTTACTCAAAATGCCGCTAAAGGGGAATGTAACATTTCGCTTTTAAGAAGACAATAAAAAATAAAAATAGTTCTTCTAAAGACTCAATACCGTATATAGTTTAATGCTTTAACTTAATATTATTAAATTAAGATATTAAATTATTTAATAAAAATAAATAATTTAAATAATATTATTTAAATATTATACAAAGATAACGGTTGATTTTTTCCGAATTTAGAGTTTGCACTATAATTTTGAGCGTATCGAAAAGGATACGTATTGCTGAGACTGACGCTTGCCTGTGATCCTACTGTGACCGTTCCGATTCCAATGTTGGCAGTCTTCGGGGTCGTCTGACACGTCTCGTTCTGCTTCTCCTTCTGCTTGGCCGAGTCGCCAGCTTTTGGTGTTTTCCCAGGTGTTCCGCTAGTATTGTTAACGTTGTCGTAGAGAGATGCGCTGGATGTGGCCGCTGTTATTTTGTCTCGTCCCGGCGTCATGTCCATTTCCGTGGATCGTCCCATGGTCCGTGGAAGCGTAGACGGCCCTAAAATACACGGATAATATTAATGCAAGTTAATAAAATTACGTCAAATTTGTGTTGCAATAGATATTTATTTGTCAGAGAAATTTTGTTCTGAAATATTATGATGTTCTATCTATAGTCTATCTGAGTCTATCAAATTTGTAAAAGTATACAATGAAAAGTAATAAAGAAAGAAAGAGACATGTCTTATAATTATTTTATTTTAAATGACGTAGAAATAAGTATGACGAAATATATATAAGAGAATATCTTATAAATCACACGTACCGCATGGACTTCGATATCTGGTGTCTTGGCTGCGCAGTCTGGCGAACTGTTCCGGAGTCATGCAGGTGCACTGAGGTTCTCTGGATCGGCTCGGTGAGGCCGGTGTCGACAGCGGCTTTCGGCGTGTTTTGATCTTCTGCTTGTTCGGTGGCTCGAGCTTCAACGAGTAAGAAGAGGACGCTTTCCTTGAAATCTTGAACGACGGTGACTGTATGGAAAATTAACTAGTGACTGCAAATGACCTAAGAAGTCGAATCGGACTTGTATCGGACTTGTTGTGTGTCGCCCCTAAATCATCTCCGCACAACTTCCTCGGGCGCGACCCGGAAGGAGGAAAGGAAATAGGCGGAGACGCGTTGAGAGAGTGATAGCGAACAGGGTTGTGGCACTGATGTATAATGTAACAAAATGCGTGTATGTCTCAGGGTGTGGTATCACTAAACTTACGCAGCATTCTCTGAATTGCTTCGCGTCTATGGGAGACGTGAAGTTCAGCCCCCACGTGTCGTTTGTCACTGTGTCCTTCCAATAAACGAAGCATTCCGACGCTTGGCCGATGCGTGTACCTTAAACACAATTACGTTATATTAATTATAGCAGGATTACTCGCATTAAGCTCCGTAATCGTGCCCGTCTTCGCCGATATTGTCGTCGCGATATTATCCTGAAAAGCAAGATCAGTCTGCAAAGATAGATACATCTTCGCACATATCCTTTTTTATGAGTATACGTTGGTGTTTCTTCTATAAAGAAACGAGGTTTAATTAGAGTATCTTAAAATACTTGTTGTAATTATGGCTCACCTGGCTGGACCAACCGCACGTCTAGAATCTTATCGACCTGGCTATTGTACGCGGTGATATGGAAGACGCATTCCGGCGAGTCCTGGATGCAGGTGATGTTCACCGGGACCAGATCTTCGGACACCTGCTGCCACTTGACGGTCCCACCCCCGCTCGAGTTTACATGGAACACTTCGGCCCACAGCCTAAAAACTCTCGTCATTACATCGTGTATTGCGGCAACGGGTAATTTTTCGAAACATCGACACACTGTTAAGGAAAGTTCTAAGGAGAGAAAGAAAGTAGAGCAGGCGTGGCAAAGAAAATGGCAAACAGCGAGAAAAGACCTATAATTCAGGAGTATATTCAATTTTCATTATGTCTCTGTCGATAGTCGATACTACGCTGAAACTGCATAAAAATATTTCCGTATGACGTCGGTCGCTTTATTTTGAAACGGATAAAACAGAAATCGTCGCATGCGGTGGGAAATCGCAAGTGCATATACATGCATCCAACATCTGCGTTTATCGTGTTAACGCCGAGCTCTTTCTGCATTAAAATTACACGAATTGTGGATATTTATTTTTAATTTCGCAACAACGATCAGACGACACGTCATTGAATTTTGTACACCGACCAGTGGACGAGAAAATAATGATACTAAAAATACTAATAGTCATGCGAAGCGCACGTGGTAAGGTGTAAAGTAGACAGTATATATGCGCGAAAGTGTGCAATTGAAAAGTATGTGTAAAAATGTGGGAACATTAATGTGGCCAGGAAGAGAAAAGTATTCGAAGCATAAATTTCTTTTTTTTTCATCTCACTTAACTCAAATGAAATCCAGGCTAGTAGCGCGAAGCAAAAATAGCAGAAAAAGAACGGTTACTTCTGTTATTCAAACGTGAAGCGCGATTTTCTTAAATGCGTATTATTTCTCAAGCCTATATTCGAGAAAATAAAGGAAGAGTACGTCGAGATCGCAATATTACTCAAAGTTAACCAAGCGTATCGCGATTCGAATAAAAAAAACGAGCTATCGGCCGCGACGAATGGTCTATCAGCTTGAACAACCGGATAAAAAGCAGAAAAGAAAGAAAGATAAGGACTAAAGACGTAAGCGCGGTCAAATAAGACAGTAAGGAGAAAGAACAGCGAGAAAAGTAAAATTGGAAAAAAAGAAATAAATAAGAAAAATGCGAGACAGTCTGGGTGACGTGAATAAAACGCGACGTCTGATCCGACGTTCGGCTGCAGAGGTATATAGCTCCTCACCAGATGCTACGAAATAATATATTAAGCCCGGATCTTCGGAAACTGCATTTTTTAATAAACGCTTGAGAGCGTTTGCTAAAATAACACCAATAATGATATCGCATAAAATATGATATAGTTATACTAGGATCAAAAATTAAGATTAGGCTCTCGTGGAATTGTCCATTAAACAAACTGATTTCTTTTTCTTAATGTTATGTGCAATAGGTTTCTCTATATATATAGAAAATATACATTGACAACAAAATAAATTTTAAATTAAAAATTCGAAAACGAGACATTAGTATATTGAATAAACGGATAATCATTAATTTTAGTCGTAAGTATTTCACAACTTTCTTACATGACTCCTTAATTGCTTAAATTATTGTCATTAGACAAATTAACCATATATTTATAATACTATCTTCTTTAATAATTTAATATATCATTACTCATATTATTATCGTCGCCCAGCGCATCTATTATTCTCATGCCGCTTACAAATATCAAAGCAAAGAAGATAGAAGGAGAGAAAAATAGAAAGAGAAAAGAGAAAAAGAGAGAAAAAAAAGAAGAGAGAGAAAAAGAGAGAGAGTGAGAGAGAAAGAGAAAGAGTAGGAGAGAGAGAAAGAGAGAATCAGTATAATGCATATAGTCAAGGGTGTATGGTAGTCATCGAAGAGAAAGAGTGGTAACATGGTCGAATGGAGAGTGATTGAATGGTTGAATGGTATGGTATGCGCACCTCTTCCTCTCTCTTAAGCTTCCGCACCTGAGCAAGTGGCCAGTGTCACCCCTGCGTCCTCCGCCGCCGCCCATCCCGCCCCTGGCACCGGCCTGCCATGGGCTGTCCTCGTACCGATACGTCTTTGATCTGATTAGGGGTGCGCAACTGCAGGAGAGCTTGTTGCCCATTCTAACTGCTCTTATTCCGGCTTAGATCCCGCCACCTGCCTGCCCCGCCGCCACACCACCACCACCACCACCACCACCGTTCTGCCTGCGTCACCACCACCCTGTACTCGTGATGCCCGTTCGTGTTTCCGGCTCGACACGCCTTAGCACGTATCCGCCCGTCCTGTCCTCCCCGTTCCTCAGGATATCCGGCCTGATCCTTCTCGCTGCGTCTATATATTTTTCCCTTTCTCTATCTCTCTCCGTCTCACCCCCTTCGGTCCCTCTTTGACACACTTTCGCGGGGCTGGCTCGTACGGCTTGTCTCTGTCGACTTTTGGCACCGATTTCCACGACGCCGACCACGGTCGGCGGTTTGACGTTGCTTTTTTTGCGCGTTTTGATCCTCGATTCGTGTGTGTTATTGGGAAGCACTGTGTGTAATAGAGACGATCCCAGAGTTATCGGAGAGTGGAAAGAGGTATCTTTATTGTCACATCATTGCAGACGTCGATAGTCATCAGCTCGTCCCTGGCATGATCGCTGCGAACAGACACGAATTGATTAGTCGTAAGGAAAATCATTTTAGTAACTTACAAATTATTTACTTTTGCGTGCAAGAAAATTTTTTGTGATTTATATTTTTGGAAAATATTATTTTTCTGTAACGCAATTATGTAGCATTTAATTTAGTAAAAATAAATTATTTTAATGAAATACATATTCACGCATATAACACATTGCATGTAGTTCTATGTTATTGTCCAATAATTAATTCATTTGTGATATATTTTATAGTAAACTTAAACTATTTTGCATGTTTTATGACATGAGCTAATATGCAATAAACTAGCTTTTAAATTAATGTAGAATCACATGTGCATTGCGTATTAAAATTTACTAGTTTCAAGTAGTGGTAACAGACGTTAAGATCAGACTGACGATCACATTTCTTCTTTTTATGTACAGTTCAATTTTTCATTAATTATTTACAAATCTAGCTTATTATTCAATAGTAATATTTATGTTATATCCATATTTAATGTAACAAATAATTTAAATCAGCCATTTGTAAAATTATACAAATACATTTAACTAATCGCAGTTTAATTAGTGGTAACGGTCAGCTTTGGTCAGACACAAACAAAAATTAAATTATTTATCAATTAAAGTTACACAGAAAGCATTGTTTCCAAAAGAATAAATAGACTAATAAGTTTAAAAATTACAGAGAAAATTATAAACTTTTGCTCAGCTCAATATATGACAAGTATAGATGAGTTTGAGGATACGGCTGACCATACAGCCGTCGTAATCACTTAGGAATCAGACAGACCTCGTCAATCCAATTTACATAAGTTGCAAGTTCGCTCTCAAGTTTATTAACATATTAGCGATATTGAATTTTTCAACAAACTAATTTATAATACTATGAATATCTATCAGCTTCGGAGATGCGTCGGGGATCAATTAAACTTCGGTAAACTAAACCCATCTCGGGCGAACTTTCGGGAGGATATAAGCTACCACTCGCCCCGTTCATCCCGGCTAAAATTTCCCGATGTTAAATAACTTTAGCAACGCTCGCTCCGTTAGTTCTTTTACCATTTTCTCACATTCCATTCACGTTTCTTGACGACGTATACCTTCACGACGTGCTATCGATTAGCGAGCGCGATTTTATCGTGGCGTTCGGCCCAAGCCGTCAACGTCAGAGGGGAGGTCAACAGCGCGAGGCATTGTGCAGATGTGTCGCGGATAATAAAAGGGGTAGCGCCACCGGAGGGTTACTGAACCGCTCTTGTCGGTCACGCAATACATCATTTCTTTCCGAGGGTGCTCTCGACAATGCCGAAGCATTCTGGGCCCTCGCAATGTTCATCTAGCATCCATTACAAGAAAATAGGGAAGTCTGGATCCTCTGGATCCAGGTTGAACATTCCTATTGGAGATACCAATGCAGTTGGCAGTTATTTTCAATCGTGTGCTCGTTCTACATATGTACGTGCAAAATTGGCACGTGAACAATCGTCCCAGTCGTTTAAAGATACGTCCAGCGATGCGTTCATCGTTGTAACATTAATCTTCTTGATAATTTCAGATGTCAATATAACAATACATAAGGGTGTCTAATAATTATTACGATAGCTTTTTAATAACAATGCGCCATGAACAGTGGATGCTACCAAAGATAAATTATTATATGTTAAATGAAACAGATTACATAGGTATAGGACTCTCTTTCATTAATTGGTCATCCACCTCTACAACCAACCAGACTCGGTAAACTTCACACGTTGTTTCCGTGCCTGGGCAGCCGAGCCGAAGGCGGAAAATTATTTTTAGACCGAACGGCTGTCGTTACCTAAGCTTTTTACATCATCGGGCCTCCGTCTGGGCAAAAGCGCGGATTCACGAGCGACGCGTGTATGCCGCTTAATTGGATGAGAGACCCGCGATTAGAGAGAGGATAAATGTCAAACGGTGCGTGCACCCATGACCACCGGGTCTCAAAGGATTAATTATGGGCGACGGGGACGGCGGAAAATCGCGGTTGTGTGTCTGCCGTCTGCAAAAATCACAACAACGCTGCCTCCACCGTTGTCGTCGTCATCGTAATCGGCATGCACGAGCGGACCGAGAACAAGTATATCGGGACGTGCAGAAAGGGGGAGAATGAGGGCTCCTGAATCACCAGTGATTTGCCCGATAAATACGATCGGCGTGGGCGTAGCATCGAGTGAAGACACGTAGGGAGGAAGCCGTAGTCAAGCTTGGGGGTCCGCTCGTCACCCGAGACGAAAGCCGGGACATGAAAGGTAGGTGTACGGCCGACGTTAGACGTGGATGTGAAGGTAAAGAGAGAGAGAGAGAGGATTCTCTAAACACTATATCGATTTCGGCGGCGATGCGGTTACGCGTCGTCCGTGGCTAAACATGAATGGCGGGTGCGCGTTTGTGCTATTCGTTCGTGTGAAACCGGACCTCCATGGTGTTGAGCACTGTCGTATGTCCGACAGTCCAAGTGAGCCGGAGGATTATCTGTTCTTACTCCGCCCGGCCGCGTTTGACTGGTGGACACGCTACTTGCGGCAATTAAACTCGTAAATTCTTGGTGAATATGTAAAATGGAATATTAGAATATTTGAAATTAAAAAGAATATTAATATTAATATATTATAAGAATATTAATTATTAATTACAGAGATTTTTATTGCGATGAAAGAGAGATAGAAAGATTTAAAATAATTTTTAAAAATTTAAATATTGTACAATATATGTGATTTAAATACATAGAGTATAATTGTTTAAAAAAAACTTGTGTATCTGATTCTTCACAAGCTTAAAATTAGCCTTTGCAATAGGAGCGTTTTTACCAATCAAACGCGACTAATTAGAATGAAGATAAACAATTGTTTCTTTCTTATTCACTTAGAATTTTGATAGATAGTTTAATGTGAATGATATGAACGAAAAGACTTAATATGTTCAACAATATTAAAGTCAATCGAACGTTCATTTCGAGTTATATATTTTTTTTCCTAAGACTTACGAGGGAAAAAAAGAAAATAATTAATGCCTAGATATCCTTCCATTGTTATCGATTCACAGAACTGATACCAGCACGTGTCCAAACAGCAACCTTTCATGTTGCCTGCCTACGTCGATAATCAAATTGGAACATTAGGTAAAACTATCACGCATCAAATATATCTATGTATTTTCTTTTAGAATGCATATCTCGTAATTTCATCGCCAATTTAAAAAAGAAAACGCATTTACTTCTAGCACAAAAAAAGACCAGGAAGATTTTATATCTTTCCGCAAAGATCGTCCGTTAAAATTAATTTAACATATATCATATTATCAATAATCATTAAATTCAAGATACGAAAAGAGAATCAGGGTTGTATTCACCGATATTCGTTCCTCTCTCTCATTCCTGTAGAAAGTGGAGATATTTTTAAAACTGAATATTCCCGTCACTAAACTGGACAAAACGCCGCACAGGACTGCAAGAGAGTCATAGAGAATTCATACACTTCCTCCAGGACGCACAGAAAGAAAATTGAGGATAGAGCCAACGCCTTCACTTCACTTGGTGGGTTTTATCAACTCAAGTCTTTATCCGTAGATGTATTTGCGAACCGAAGATCTTTTCGGATAACTGTAAAGAAGGACACACCGTGACACTGAGCAAAAATCGAAAACATCAAGAGATTAGATACATATTTTCACTGGTATTTACATTGACCCTCGAGGTATCCGTGTCTGCGATACTGGTCAGATACCTTCACCGAATCGAAACTCCGCACAAACGTGCCGAAGGTCACGGGAGCTTCATGTCGTTTCTTCCTGTGGGAAGCGCGGACGGAGAAGCGGCGCGAAGGTGAGCCAACGCCTTCGTATCTAGCCTCGTGATCGTTATCGACTCGCAGAGCTGATACCTGGGACGTGTCCTCAGACAGAGATCTTTCCGGAACGAGACAACAACATCAGCGAGGGATTAGATTATATCCAGGTATCCAGTCCTCTCCTCCTTGAGGGTGGAGGCTGCTCGCAGCCGCCGCGGCAACGCCTCTTCTGACACGTCAACGTTAGGTACGAGAAGTAAGTAGGTAGATACGTGGAGAGAGAAGGAGAGAGAAATAGAAATAGAAAGAGAGAGAGAGAGAAAGAGAACGGGTCACGGTTAGAGGTACACGTCGCTCCCTCGTCGCGAAGCGGTCACGGGGAGACGCGGAAAGCGGAAGCGGGAGCGGACGGAGAGGTGCGACTCCGCCTAGTCGCGCGCGCGAGAAGCACCTCACCCTGGGTAAACACACTGCGGGATGCACCACTACCACCACCACCAACCATCACCACCAAACGGCACCACTACCCATCACCACTACCAGAACAGCACCGGTGTATACGTACGATCAACGCCCCGCGCCACCCACCACCTTACCGACGAAGGGAGAGAACGTCTCTCCTGTGTTTCCCGTCTCTCCCGGCCTTTCGTCGTATTTCCGCCCTGGTCCCTTATTTTCTCTCGACGTCTCTAACCGTCTATCTAACATCTATAGCTATATTCTATTTATCTACCTCTCTTTTTCTGCATTTTTCTCTTTCTCTCTCACTCTTCGTCTTTCTATTATCTGCTGTTACACCCTTTTATCCTCCACCAACCCTCTCGCCCGTCCGCGTGACGATGACTCACACTCACCGACACGGCGACGCTTCCTCCTCGGCTTCCTAGACACTCGGCTGAACAGACCGGCGCGGCGTCTCGACCAGCCGCTCCCGAGAGGAGGAGCCCTGGTCTGGGTGCCGCGGGCGAGAGTCCTCTCGCGACGACACCACCACCGCGGCGAGGAGAGACAAACGGAGAACAGTTCGAGAGGGATGCTGGAAGCGCCGCGCACGACAGTCGGAGAGAAGGTCGTGGGCGGCGGCGGCGACGGCGACGACGGGGTACGGGGACGGCGCGGCGGGGCCGAAGGATTACGTGGCCCTCGCGGTAGCCCGTGGGAAGGGGGAGACGGTCCCGGGGGGAAAACTGGGATGAGGCACGGTATCCACCCTATTCTCAACGAGAAGGAGAGGGAAAGAAAGACGGAATAAGAAATAGGAGAGAAGAAGATGGAGGGAGAGAGAGGGAGATCCTCGCGAAACCTACCGGGACAAGACGCGACGAACGATCGGAGAAAACTACCCGGGTGCCGCTCCCGAAGGCACTCCCCCCGGTCGCAGTTGTTGTCGCTGTTGTCGCTACTGCTGCTGCTGGCTACTGGTTGCTGGCCGCTGCTACTGCTATCTCGTCGCTCGCTGACTCGCTCTCCCCCTCGTTGCCGTGGCTGGCGACGGGCCCCCGAACCTCGCCGTGCGATCACGCTTCCGGTCTTTCGCGGGAAATCCTCGCGGACGACGTAGCCATGGATACTGCAGGATCCGGCAGGGAGAGGCGACTGCCCCGTCGCGCGCGCACCCCGTTCCCCGGCCCCGGCCCCCACCTGTTCCCCGTCGCCGCCGCCACCCTCCCAGCGCGCACCCCCTGCCTCCGCCGCGATGCGCGCCCCACGGGCCGAAAATGTCAATATCCTCTCTCGCGTTGCGCCCGCGATGCGCCCCCTCCTCGCGCACCGTCCACCCACCCACCCACCCTCCCGTTACGCGGCGCGACGTGCCGCGCCGATGCGCCCCACTATACGCGCCCTCATCTCCCGCCAACCCCTTTTCGCAACTCCATCTCAATTCGCTCCCTCTTTCTCTCCGTCCTCCTTCGCTGTAGTACCCCGCGGCGATTCTCTCTCTCTCTCTCTCTCTCTCTCTCTGTCTCTCTGTCTCCTTCTCTCTCGCGCGCGCGTAGCCAAGACCGTCTCCCTCACCACTCAGGGGTGAGACTACGATCGCGAGAACCCTTAAACTATTGTTATACGGACAGGAACTAAATAATGAGAAATGGATCGGCAACGAGAAAATATCTCGACGTTCGTTACTAATTAGAGATAGACTTTGATTTATGCATTATTTAGCGGGAGGGTTTCTGTTTCGCGCGCATTCCGACAGCCTTAAACACGACCCTGCGACTCGCGCCCTTTCGCATCGCCGCCCTCGTCGCTCGCTCGCTCGGTCTGTTTCCCTTAGCCGAGATCTCGAAGCCCTTTTCCGTTTTTTTTCCCCCCTCGAGCCGAGAAACGGGTCACATGACGGAAGGGTGGCTTCTCTAGGGACTTGCTCTCTTTTCTCTTGGAAGCGTTTCGCGTATCTTCTCGCGTGACGAGCGCACATGGATCCCCGTCGATCGATTCCGCGCTCTCCGCTTATCGTAGCCACGCAAAGGGCTGACCGGTGCTCTCGTCCTCGTCCTCGTTGTCGGCATCACCGTCGTCGCTGTCAAGCCGCTTGACGAGTAACCATAGCGATCGGCGATCGATGCGAGGCACGCGCGCGCCGACCATCCGGAGGGGACCCAGCATCCGCGGGAGTCGTCGTATCCTGCGCCGCGATTTTATTTCGCCGTCTAATCGCCTAATACTAATGCAATTTAACGTGTTACGCAGTTCTAACGCGTAATTCGTGCGATTTGGCGAACGTACCATCTGCCTTTTCTAAATACAAATAACGATATCTGAATTGGCATTTTTTGTACAAAGAATATCTTAATAATTGTTATAAATAATTCTGGTTACTTTCTTTCCCTCTAGTCTCTCCTTTCTTCATTTTTCCCCTTCGTAATAGTCGCGATAAGCAAAGAGGATAGATAGATACGTCTCCTATAGCAAAAACACGCCACGTCTGACTAGAAACGGACCTCTTCCACTTGCAGATCAACTCGAAAGTTTTTCCATCTCAAGAACCACTTTTGCAATAAAAGTTTTTATTGAGAGCGAAAGAGAATGAAAATAGAGTTATTTTAAAATTAAATAAACTATGAATTATATTAATTTTAAATATATATTTGTCAATGTCTCATTTTGCATATTTATATCGATCCGGAAACTGTCGAGAAAAATTTCTAAAGTTACAATGATCGATTTTTAAATGCAATACTGATTTTTATTTGCTGATTTATAATATTTCCACCATTTAAGCAATAAATAATGTATTCGTGATAAAACTTTATTCTGTTTTAAGAAAGAGAACAGCAAACGTATATAAAACACGGAATGCAGCTCTATTAATTGCATTTTGTGCATTGCTCGCTTTTCTTCTTTAAAAAAGGTAAAACAGGGCTGAGAAGCACGTGTTTTATTTTTAAACGCAAAGTGGAAAAAGACGAGTCAGACAGGCTTTTAAATCGATTCGAGTGACACGTGACGCCCGTGACGGATCGTCCGGAGCAGTCCGGAGCATCTATTCGACGATGTAAATCAAAATGCGCGATTTTGTCCCATTATCTCATTTTCTCTCATCTACTTGTGCTCTTCTCATCTAACCTGAAAACGCATAAAAATTAACAACGCAGATGTTAAGTGTTCAAAAGTAAACAAGGGGAAAACCTCGTGTTTACGGGTGTATTCCTAACCTCCAATATCGTTTGACGCAGCATCGTATTCGCGAGAGAGATGCTGCAAAAGGCGATTCTAGGACTAAGGTGCACCGTTCGAACGGTGCACCTTCGCTCTCTTCGCTTTCTGTGGGGGCTGTCGGTCGATGTTAAGGAGAATCCAGGCGACAGGATGCAAGCCTGGCAGATACACTCATATAATGGCCTGGAGGATCTGAGACTCTCTAACGTCAGGGTGCCGGTGATCACGAATCCCACTGACGTCCTGGTGAAGATCGAAGCAGCTAGTGTGAATCCCATCGACGTCGCGATGACGGGTACTCTATTCCTGTTCGATTTCGTGTGTGTCTTCTGTCTTGAAAGTGGCGTATGAAATTTAAAGTTGACACATGTGTGACTGCAAGTCAATGTTACAATCTGTAGCTCTGAACGTGTATAGATAATTTGCTTGAACGTGTATAGAGATATAATTAACTTGTATGAGTTTTGCATATTGCATTATACAAGCCATATAAATATCTAGATTAATACCAGGATATTTTAATTTTGGTTTCTCATTAATCCTTAAGTTGTGTCACTTATAAATTCTTAATCGCTACTTTTACTACTGACACAAGATTGGTGTAATTCTGTAACGTTTAAAAATGACAATAAAAAGACTTTCTTTTTATTGCAGATGGTTATGGTAATACTCTCCTGAATGTTATGCGTAAAACCAAAAGTTTGACCTCTGGACCCTGGGGCCAACTCCAAGAATTAGATTTGCCACTGACATTGGGTAGAGACTTCGCAGGGGTGGTTGTATCAAAAGGATATGATGTAGGCGACAGGTTTAAACTAGGCGAGGAAGTTTGGGGTGTGGTTCCGATTGAACAACAGGGCTGTCATGCGAATTACGTTGTGGTTAACAGTAGCTTAGTAAGGCACATTTCATTCTTAATATATTAAATATTCAGACAAATATATAACTTGCGATTACAGCATTATCTATTTTTCTCGCAAGGTAAATCCACGCCCTCCGAAATTGTCTTATATCGAGGCTGCGAGTATCCTGTACGCCGGACTGACTGCGTGGTCCGCACTGTGGATCACAGGCGGGCTATGTTACAAAACGACGATGGCTACGAGATTGAACAGACGCGTCCTGGTCATGGGAGGTTCGGGTGGAGTCGGTACTTTGGCTATACAGCTGCTAAAAGCTTGGGACATGCATGTAAATATTTAATCTGTATATATTGCATTAGGGCGTCGGCGACGTGTAAAGCATCAAATTTGTTTAGGTAATCAGCACGTGCAGTAGTGACGCTGTAGAGATGCTGCAGAATTTAGGTGCCGATACTGTCATTGATTATAAACAAGACGATGCCGATGCAGACATTTTTTCAGAGGGACCGTAAGTTTTATAGTAAAATACACTGTAATAAATATAATGTATATGTTACATGTACGATTATTACATTTGTAAGCAGGTATGACATCATCTTAGATTGCGCGAATCAAGGGCCAGAGTATGTCAGAATGAAAGGATATCCGCACAATACTTACATAGCATTAAATTCGCCACTGTTAAAAAATGTTGATCATCATGGGCTAATCGTAGGAATGGCACAGAACCTTGGAGATCTTTTGAAGTTCAATATTCCAAAGGAAGGAAACAAAAGTTGTGTTAAATGGGGATTTTTTATGCCCTCCCAGACAGGGATTAATGTTCTCCAAGAGTTTGTCGAGAACGAAAAGGTGTGTACAGGAATTCTTGACATGCTTTTATCTCTTACTAGAGATTCTGTAATTTTATATTCTGTGGTTTGCAGATCACACCTGTCGTTCAGCAAGTATACCCTTTTCAAGATTTGCCACAGGCATATGAGAGACTTAAGCAAGGCCATTTAAGAGGCAAACTAGTAATTGACATGAGATAGTAAACAGTATTAAATATACTAATGTATATATAAAATTAATATATTTTTTGCAAATAGTGTGGTGGTGCTTATCAGCAATAAATAATTATGTTCTACATAACGTTTTAGTATTTGTCATACTCTTCATGTCCTGTATGCCATTACCGGAAAAAACTTTTTCTACAACTTCCGTCCAACAGTTTGTCGCAAGTTCTGTGGCCCTTTCTGCACCTTCCTTCAAAATCTTATCTAAATAGGCGGGTTCTTTGGTTAATTTCAATATATCCTCACGAATTGGAGATAATTTTTCTATCACTACATCTGCCACCACCAATTTGTACCTATTAAAAACCAAAATAAGTCATAATAATCCATTTATGAAAGTTTCCGGAAGTAATCACTTTTTCTGAATGAATATTATAAAATAAGATATAATGTTCATCAAATACACTTACTGTCCTGTATTTAAACCTTCGGCCTCCTTACATATTTCCTCCGGGGTCTTCCCGGTGAACAAAGAATGTATATTAATCAAATTGGCCACTGCTGGTCGTTTTTCCGGCTCGTAAGTCACTTCGGACGTAAAGTCGGTAATAGCTTTTTTCAGTTTGTTCAACAGCACATCAGGTTCATCCAAGATGTTTAACCTGGACTTGGAATCTGTGTGTGATTTTGACATTTTTTTCGTAGGGTCACGTAAAGACTTTATTCTCTGGCTCGGACCATCTTAAAGCATAAAAATTTTACTCGTTAGTCGATATATATCTTCAAAATCAAAATTAACGCGATTAAATTTCGGAAATTACTGCTTCAGAAACTTACCACTAATAAGGGTATGTGGTATCGGGAAGGTTTGTCCAAACTGTCTGTTAAATATCTGCGCTAAGTCTTGTGCCAATTGAATATGCTGAGCTTGATCTTGTCCAACGGGAACGTGCGTTGCTCTGAAGAAAAAATCTTCGTATATACTTCATTGCAGTGCATAAAAATTAATGGGATAATTTTCAATTATATTAGTACTTCAGGAGACCAATTTAATAAACTCTGAAATAAATATATACCTATTATATGTATATTCACATGTTTTGACTTCTAGATTCATCTCCTGAAGTATTGACATATAATTAAAAATTAATTTACATATCAAGATACTTGCTTGTACAATAATATATCAGCTGCTTGTAGAACGGGGTAAATGTACAAGCCTAGAGGCACATTCTTCAAAGATTCGCTTTTTTCCTTGAATTGTGGTAGGTGCGCCAGCCTCGCCATGGTCGTGATGCAGCACAAGATCCAACATAGTTCCGCATGCATCGATACGTCGGACTGTCGAAACAAGATACTCCTCTTGAAGTCTACGCCACACGCTATCAGGGTTGCGGTTGTCAGTAGAATATTCTCTCTCAATGTTTGAGGATTCTACAAATTGCATATTGTCAACGGGCGATAACGATGGAATATATAAACTTGATCTACCGTGATTTTACTTGGGGCAAAGTGATGGAATGCAAATCCGCTATGCTGCACATAACTGCTTCGCCGGAGTCCTGCAATTCCACCCATCTCCCAATGGCACCGAAGTAATTTCCCAAATGTACGATTCCCGTAGGCTGAATTCCGGAGAATATCCTCTTTGGATACTTAATCTGCGTTGCCTGCAAAACATAGAAGAGCAAATGTAGCACGAATTACACTACACTAACCAATTTTCCATTAAATAATCAACTTAATATAAATAAAACTTTCCTTAAAATGTAATAATTCTTGTAGTGCTTTAAACACGTTTGTATAATTAATTAAGCACTAATTTTATCTATCTCACAAGAATTAATTGTTTCAGTTATAAAGTGAAATTAGATGACAAAACATAATCGAACCTGCTTGCTACATTTTCTGAAACCCTCGGGCTTCGCTAACCGAGTTCTTCCCAGACGAGCATTCTCAGCTCGAAATATTTTCAGCATGTTTCAAATAATATCGACTTTATTAACTTTTCTTTCAATTATCCCTCGGGTGAAGGAAATTAAAGCCTTCTGCTTCTCCTTTAGGTAACACGACACAGGTCTAGTTTAATAACTATTTTTAATCCTTTCTTCTTTAAATTCTTAAACGGATTATTAATCCTTGCGGATCTTTAATCTTCAAATTTCTCTTTAAACAGGGAATCCGCCTCTTAATCGAGAGATATGCGGGATGAAGACCGGGGATCGAACCACGCGACTTTATTAAATGATCAACGTGTCGAATGTGAGGTTAAGGGCCGGTCGTTCCAACTTGTTCGTAAACTAAATAGTTAAATTATATGTATTGTCTTTGTCCTTCCTTCAAATTAGACAAAGATAGACATATGATTTTAACTATTAGTTAGTTCACTAACAGAAAAGAACAACCGGCCCTTCAAGACACCGCGATTATCCTACATGAATTCGATTACCTGCACTGCTCCTGCACTACAGGGCACAGGGTTCGTTGTAGCTGCACTTTTTGTACGTTTGTCTTTTCTCCTTTTTTATCCAACGCCAATTTATATATTTGTCTCATTTTAGGTGTAGAAAGTATAATGCAGAGCAGCTACGAAAAACAGAATTTATATTGCGCTTGCCGCTATACGTAAAGATATCGGAAAGATATCTTACGAGAAAATACAATATAATTAACGAAACAAAGCAACCGCTAAATGTTAAGCTTATTTGTTTAAAGAAAATTGATATGTAATAATTTTCAAATGCAGAAAGCGCAGATAAAACATTTATTGGTTGCGCCAGTTCTGCCAATGTTTCAGCCAATCGCAAACGGCCTTTCAAATTCGAAATCCATACGCATTAGCGACAATTAATTTCTAACAATCGTATGTGCATTTGCAAAAAGCAAGTAGAAGTTGGCTCTTACTTTCCGTCCAAAGTACGAGAAATAATAAGCGGACGGAGAAATACATTTCGAGACTCATAATTAAGAAAAAAAAGTTCACATTTAATGAGAATGGTTCACATCAAATACGAATGGTTCTTGAATCATATAATTTTTTAAATAAAACCAGTTATTTTTTTCGAGAACGGTTAATTACGAAAAGTTAAAGTATCAGTTAATTTTACAGTCTAAATTATATAAAAGGAGATGTTTTGCGACTAGCGCAATTAATAAATCGCTCGTCTTGTTATCGCCTTTACTTATTTGATCGATTAATCTGTTTTTTATGGTAAAAGTAAATTTATAAAAATACAGATATCGTTTCGTCTCCTCATTTCACACGCGAAATCATATTTCATCGCAGAACAATATCTCATTTTCTACGTCCGATTGAAAGCTAATTATGGTCTCCACCGTGAAAATCTTCAACGTCACTGTCCCGCAAAAGGACGATCTCTGCTGCGCGATCTGCAAGATCGTGAATTCCGAGAACGATCCCATGCACATGATCTATTCTGAACATTGTGGAAACAAGCTCAAGTGTCGGCACGTATAACAACGATATGATTAGTATTATATAGTATACAATTAATATTATATACGATCAGTATTATATACGTTTCCATCGTTTCCAATCCTGTTGGCACATTTCGCGAATTTAAAGCGAAAGATCATTGATTTCCAACGAGTTCGTCCGCCTCGATCTTAATTAAGGAAATGTCGATTTTCAGGCAATTTCTTCGAGAGACTCCCCAGGCGATGGCCGCCCCGATAACTAATCGGAAACTACTCGGGGCCGGCGGTTCCCTTTACATTATCGTCACCAAGGACCTTTTCGAAAGTTGTACCTTCCGGGACCATTGTGACGCCCACGACATACAGGTGGTACGTGTCCGCAAAGACTCATCGTGGCTTTGCTGTCTCTCCGCAAAATGTAGGATCTCTCCGCGAGATCAATCTTCCTCGTTATAATCTCGACATGCAAATATTACGCAGATGGATCTACTCGACCCCGTTCCGACTTACGTTTACAAGGCGTGTCTACTCCACACAGTGGAATACAACCTGGCACCGCAGTGGAACAAAGTCGGGCTGTACCTCGTCGAGGGACAAGATTTTCTCAGCTCAACGGGAAGCGTCAAAGCGATCACGCTGAATATCAAAGACATTCGCGGTACGATCCCTGATTTCAAAAATATAATAGCGTTAGATATGCAGTATAGTTATGCAGCTATTATATAGTTTTTGCATATGCACAGAGATATACAAAGGTTTCTTTAACATAAAAGAATAGAATAAATTAGATTATTATATGTAGAAGATTTAGAGCGTTAAATAGATATCTATTTAACGCTCTAAATCTACAGCTATATAGCTGTAAATTAAAAGAGATAAATATTGCAGACAACAGCGCTCAGTTTCACGTGGAAGCTGTAAATCTCAAAATACCATTCTTAAGACTGAATACCATGCGTCCTCTTCAACATGATTTGCAGCCGCCAGTACGCGTCCTACCGAGGTAAAAAATAATGTGGAAATTCTATGAATGTCGCTAATATAAATCGTTGTTATAAAATAAATTCTATGCCAGTCTTTATATTATAATTAATCACTTAAATGTATAAATTACTGCGTCTAACAATTCTGTAAACACCTACTTGTAGCTTGAAAATGGCGAATGTGTTGAGCATATCGAGAGAAATTAAGAAAAAGTACCTGTTCAAGGATTACGAGGACCTGCGCGCGTATTGGAAAAATATGGTGCAAATCTTTTAATAACTCATCAAAACTAATATCTCCTAAGCATAATTTTATCGATTTTGTTAACGTATTGCTATTCCCGCTGAAATAAAAATTAGCTTTAATGTACAAAAAATAATTGATTCTTCGAAAATAGATTTGATCAAGTTATTTGCTAATATTATTAATCGGCAAATATAACTTTGTATTTGTAAACTATTATAAGGAGCAATTTGATCTCGTTATTTTAGCACGGCTATATATTGCCAGATTACGAGGAAGGACTCTTATTTTACGATCTCGAGTTCTTCTATTTCAAGTCAAGCATTTTCGTATATCCTGAAACGTGCTTGACCTCAGGACCTCTACAAATTCTTCCGCTTACGATGGATCCGGTATCCAGGATTTACAAATTTGCGGGAGATCTGAGAGGAAGAGTGACGAAATTATGCGGGCAGCAATTGGACGTATGCCCGGTGGTAAGAATAGGAACTGCATATATCCATTATATCTATTTTCGTTTTTGGGTTCTCTCGATAAACTTCTCGCTATCAATTCTTACAGCTTAAAGCTTAAACTAATATATTTCATTTTCTACGTGTAAAATAGCATGTTAATTGCTACTATCATTTACAAGAATCAATATAATATAATTAAGGGAAACAAAAATATGTTTAAGAGAAACACATTTTTGATACGATATATTAAATACAATAGATGTCTAAATCTAAATAAAATTACAAAAATCAGATTAAATCTGTACGCCTGATAACTGTTCTTATATTTTACTTAATGCATAATTGATTTTGCAGAATACGTATGAAGCAGCTGTTATAGCTTGTACACCGATGTTACCAAGGGTTAATAAATTTTCAGCCCGCGATACAGGATATGGTACAAGATCAAGAATTAGCAGCGTGACGCCTTTGCCTCGGGCAATTGCGTGCGATATTCCCACAAAACGGTCGCGATTATCACTACCAGGGATTAATGATTCTCTTACGTGCAAGACCGAGATTGACGATTTCGATTTAGCAATCGGTCCAACGTGTTCAACGAGTAATTTTGATAAATTGCTTAAAACTGCTGGTAGTATTTCAACGGTATTGTACGACGCAGATAGTGCTGTGGCCAGCAAACCAATTGTACAGAAAGATGAAAGCAACTCGCATTATTTTAAGCAAGAAAAATCCGAGAGCAAACCTATGGTGGTAAATATGTTATACAAGCAAATTTATAGTAATTTTTTATATAATAAGGAAACAATTAATAACGATTTATATTGCGTCGAAGGAGTTGACGGAAAAAGAAGAGAAGCCCGATAAACAAAAACTAAAGGAAAAATTGTTAAGGAACTTTTAAGAAAATATTCTTGCGATTTGCCGTCTCAATAACAATTATTATTACTCGTTTTTTTATATCTAAAACATAGTATTATATCACAATTTGTATAACAAGAAAATATCTTTGATTGAATTATTAGAGAATTAATTTTATAAATCAGAATAAATAAATAAAAGTTATAAATTATAAATTAATTTCATTATAAATAACTTATCTCTTAGAACACACATAAGCAGAAAGATCATAATGCGTTAAAATTTCCGATTAAAAAACAGCAACAAATTGTATTCGTATCAATTCGTATAAATAAAAATGATCAAATATTAATATGTTTTATGGTTAATACATTCCTTTATTGCCTCCAGCAAGTCGCGTCTGTCTCTTTCGTACTCGATACCGATCTCTATCAAGTCTTTATCCTTAAGTGTTAAAAATAGGTCAAAGTCCACCTAGAATAAAACAAAACGAATCGTGTATGTACAATTTTAAAATTATGACACTCAAAATATATGAGTTAAGTTATTATAATTGTAAGGAGTAATATTATGTTGGCCAATAAGTCCGTGCGATTTTTACTTATAAATGTTACTTATAAATAACTGCACGGACTCATTGGCCAACCTAATACTATCGTTTTATCTACTTTTCAACATTTTTCATGTACAATTTCTTTAGAAACATACTTCTTCTTTGAGAAATACAGAGCTGTGGTGGCTGAGTCCGAAACGTTTTAGTACCATAATCATTTTCGTCTGTGGCCAGTTCAAGAGCATTCCTTTCGGTGGCGTTTTGCAACGCGGCGGCGTCGGGGTATTTTCGCCAAACACGTCCTCCTCGTTAACGTCCGGAGGCACATGGGGCGATTTGACTGGGCTGAATTCGGGCGTGAACCCGAGAGTGGCATTAAAATTGCACGAGAGATTCTTCATGTCAATATCCGTAGGTCGTACCGACTGTAATCTGCAAAGAATCGAATTTGTTTCATTAATATATCTTAGATATACACAATATAGAAATAATGTCTTAACGATCATTTATTCAATGTGAAAAAGGTAAATAATTATTGAACTTGTTACTGCCTTTCTACCTTTGAAGTACAGCCAGAGATGATTCAGGCTGATCCTTGCTCGTCGCAGAACGTTTTTCCAAATCATTTTCCGTTGAATCTTCGTTTGCATTTTGGGAAAGAATATCTGATTTCTCTATAAAACTGCCCTTCTCAAAATCGGCGACTTTCGGAAACATAAACATGTCGTACGTTAAGTTCGGTGATATTTGCTTGTCGGATTCCCTAACTACGGTTAACAGGTGCAGCTTGAGTTTTTCTCCTTTACTCTGGTCGTCATTTAAAGTAGAACGATCCTCCGTCGTACTATCAATGTCCTGTTCGCTTAACACTTCGATGTTATCCGACGTATCATTCCAATAGTCATCCGTGGGAAGTTCTTCGGTCGCCAAAGTGGCTATTTCCGGTACCGTGGAACGTTTCATCATGGTGCGAGTGTACCCATCTATGCTCAAAACACAAGTTTCTTAGATGTAGTTTCTTTACGTTTTATTTCAAACGGATAATGATAGAGAAAATGGAAAAGCATAAAAATTACAATTGATGAGAACCAATTATGCTTTCTTTTTTAATACGACTAAATTCTGTGATGCAATATAAAAGTAATTAATATTTTATCAAATTTTTAGTTATAATAGTGTAAAGAATATGCCATATTCATTTTTTACATAACATAGTTGGGTCAATGGATCATAAATGTAAGTTTTATTATAAATGTTGGTTCATGAATCTTATAAAGAAAAATAATCTAACTGGTAGTCGAGGACGGCATGCCTAATTCCAATAGTCTTAGGAACAGCTCCTTGTCGTTCTTCATGGCAGCCACGCATAGTGGAGTAATGTCATCATTAACTGTGCTCGCCAATGCGTCCGGGCAGGCGTTGTACACCGTTTCGAACATCTCCTTACTTATCGCAGCGGCTAATGCGAGGACTGACATACCTATGGTAATTTAAAACAAGAAGTCTTTCAAAATAGCATAGCGTCACAGAGCTTTGGTTTCTCATTTCAACGTCACTATTCTCTCTTTCTCAATTCAACCGCATTAATAATACAGTGTTCCTAATCTTTACGCAAGATGACTTATATTATTTTTTCCTCAGAAAATCTCGCTTTAAAGATATCAATGCAGACGTTTTAAAATTGTCATTTTGATCCTGAGCATTAACTGTAATTATAAATAGCTGCTCGCTTACCGAGATAAGTCATTTGATTAACGCCGGCGTTTTTCTCTAAAAGTAATTTCACAGTGTCGACATTCCCATTACGAATTGCTTGCATCAGCGGAGTCCAGCCAAATTTATTCTTCCTATCTACGACACGGCAGTTCTCCTTCTGGTCCAAAATTTCCCTCACGATCCCGAGACAACCGTTCGCCGCGCTTACATGCAGCAGATTCTCATCGTAGTTGTTTACAGCGTTCAAAGTGTATCCTTCAAGAAAATTGTCATGAGTTTATTTAATATTTTACAAAAATTTAACCGGAATGCCCATACAATTCCAGAGAGTACAAATGACTGTTTTACAGTTTTAAGCATTCATCGCTGAATGTAACAATTAATTATGGACCTAATAAACAATTAATAATGCATCTAATTAATCCATATAATTGCTGAGAAGTGAGTTTTTACCTTGCTTCTGCATCGCGGCGATCACCTGTGCCTCCACAATTTTTTTAGTACTATCGTGCGAGCCTGGCTTTAACATTTTTTCCTCTCTTCGCTCTTATCAGGTGCGTTAAAAAATTGTTTTACAAGATAATTCTTTGATTCTAAGATCAATATAGCTTTCTTCCTCTCTCTCTTTCTCTCTAAACAGCAAAACCTGATTGAGTCTCATTACTCGTTATTGTCCATACTGAAAAATTTGCCAGTTATATTATTTATATTTATATCAAACAGATTATTATAACACTTGTACATATTGAAAGCAGTCCTGACTCCGCTAACCTTCCGTATAATACTGTGTTGATTTCTATTATTGTCTATCCTAAATATTGCCGCGTAATGTCATCCGTTGGCAAGTGTTTCCCTTTTTTTCAAGCGTCTAGTTACCAAAGAAAACAAGACTTTACGATTTGTACACACAACCGTCTGACAAAAAAAGAAAAGGAGATGCTACAAAATTTCGTATTAAATCTATTATATCAGTGCAAAAGATTTATATTTTTGTAAGTGAAAACAAAATTGCTGCAACGAGTTCGTTATACTCAGCTTTTCAGTTTTTCTAATTTTCTTTCCGCTTGTCTTTTTTTTAAAGAGCCTGGGGATAATTAAAGATCTAGACATTATCGACTAATATTCTTCTCGACCGTTGATAAAAATGGAAATGATTTTACATAAAAACATGTTATCTACGAAACATCAGAACAAATAATATAAATCATAAACTTTAATTTTACATCGCGAGTAAATTCCCACGCGACTTCCACAGAATCTTGCCGATGATAAACGACAATTTAAAATAAAAGAAACCTTGAAACATATTGAATCGTCGGGCTCGGGCGTCGAGCAACGCGCCGACGCGTTTTCCGTTTATTTTCAGAGTGCCGTCGGACGTATTAATTAGGAACGCGGTAATGAGATGCGTGACGTGAACGGCCCGGGCAGGGCCGCTCCGGCACTCGCTAGTCGCTCGGTCGCTCGGTCCCTCTGGCGGTGTCTCTCCCAAGCGGGGAGGTCCGTCGGGTGGTGCTGGTGCTGGATACGTTCCGGGATATGCTACGTATCATCGCGCCGCGTTGGGGTTAGCTGCGATTCTGCCGTGCATCGCGCCGCCGAGGTATGCCGCCGTATACGTTCGCCGCCGAGCGACGGGGGGACGGGACACGGCGAGCGGCGCCGGCGGCGAGAACCCGTCCGGCTACGAAGAGAGCGCACGAGGTCGCGACGACCCCCCCGGGTCGAACACCGCGCGCCCGCGCGCCGTCTCGCCTTCCCGTCTCTCCTACCGTCTCTCCCGTGAGAACCTTCTGACCTGTAGAAAAAAATTCGCGCCGCCCGAGAGATTCGCGTCCTTAACGTGGATCCACGAGGTTGTTTCCCAATTCAGCTACGAGCATTCGGTCGCGGTCACGAAACGCCGTCGTTCAAAACGGATGCGCAGAGAGAGGCATATGTCTCGAGCACGTCGCGCGACGTGACACTTGTTTGCATCTCGCTCAGACTCGGG